TCAGGTATATTTCTACATATCTGATCGTTATTATTGTTATTCTTTGGTCAGTTGAGTATCTACGCTCAATTGTCAGGTTATTTCGCGACCCGGATCATGTTCACATAGTTCTGAACGATATTTCAATGGTTCTTTAACTCGAATCATTGAATATTTATACTGTTTACTGTTATATATATAGTTGATAAACAACCACACAAATCACGGAAATGACAGAGCAGAATTCAAGTAAAGGAAAGGTAAAATCTCGTCACACTGTCAAATTGTTTACATGTCTATCCATAACAGTACCATTTGTAAACTATGAGCTAGTCAGGTTTCAACCGATGTCTTGATAAAAGACACCTACTATCTAAGTATCTAACTCACTGAGGTCAAAATATTATTCTTGTATCAGAACTACCGTAGTTAAGATACTTCAAATAGTATACAGTGAAAGCATAGTCATGACACATTTTCTGCTTGTAGGAGAAAGTCCTTTGCATCACTTCGTTCAATAAACGCCGTAGGTTTCATCTTTAAACACTTATTAAAAAAATTGTCAGTACACAGTTTGCCAGTAGGTCATTATTAGATGTCCGACAAACCACCGTATCTTTTTTCTGCTGTTATCATATTTTCATTTAATCTATGATATTCTCGTATAGGTTGAACTCCTCGTCCCGACAATGCCGGTTGTGATATTTGTTTACGCTTCGCTCTGAATGGATTGTCAAATATATTGTTGCTGCAAAAGAAAAAAGCAAAAAAGCAGTGCTCTATAGGCATACAGAGCCAAACATAATAAAAATCCTTAACTTTATTTCTTTTTATTTTACATTCTAAAGTAGTAATCAGTCAAATCGCTACCTTGCTGTAAATAAACTTTTAAAAAAAAGAGGCTTGATTATTTCCAAAACATTACCATGGTTTATTTTATGCTTTTCAGTGGATTACTGATTTATCCGTGAAAATTATATTTGATAATTTCACAGTGAAAATTATCAAAATATAATTTCACTTTTTTCAATGACGAAACTACTTTTTTAAGATTTTCCCCATGTGGTACCTCAATTTTATTTTTACTGACAATTCTGACAATATCAGGCTGTTAAAAAAATAGCAAAGCTGAAATAGATAAATAACTTAAATGTCAAAAGTAATAAAGAGAGAAAACTTACTTCTATTCCTTCAAATTCCAATCACAAAATTTCGTCTCTAAATTTTTTTGTTTCGTTTTACAGTCTGAAAAATACATTCCTTCACCATGCAAAAATACTCTTGATGACATTTGGGCATATTAAAGTATCCTACGAGCAATAACTGCCGTATGCTTTATGAAAAATTGAAAAGCATTGACAGCTATCACTCGTAAAATAAGTAAAACAACCCAGCGTTCCTTACAATGCCTTAGCAAGCTTCCAAGTTTTCCATTTTCCTAGCTCCTTTTCTGAATGTTTTCACTTCTGTCAACACTTATTTTTTGTCTGTTACAATCCTCAAATAAGTTTTCTTTCTTTTAAAAAGGTGTATGACTAACAAATCCAAATTATATCCTTCTGCATCTTACACAATTATTTTCCTCCCATGAAATACACGACTTTAAAAAATGGCTGCCGTTTACATTTTACAAAGCCAGGTCTAATATAAATTCGCAGTAAGTAACAGAAATATGGATGGATGGTTGGACTTTTTCTCCTACAAGAATTGTTTGTTTTTATTATTAAAACAAGCGATCATTCATATTTTTTTAATAAAATGAATAAATATCACATTCATTTAACCTTCATTGGCGGACTTATTTTTCAGCTCAAGACTTCTTGTTTTTAATGAGAAATTCCCTCTAAATGGGGCTCTCAATGGGGGAAACAGATTTTAATATTAACGTTAAAATTATGGAAATTTCGTTTTAACTTGTTTTAAAGCATAAAATAAAAAGAAAATTTGTCTGTTTGTTGTGTAAGATGTAATTTTATTTCATCTCGTGAACTTTAAAAACAGTAATCTCACTCGTGGCTACGCCACTCGTTAGAATACTGTTTTTAAAGCCCACTCGATGAAATAGAATTTCATCTTACACACAAACAAACAAATATCCTCTATATAATTGTTTAAATATTTTTTCCATCAAAAAATAATTAGAAGTATTATTGTACTGTGATACATACCGTGGGCAAATTCTGGAAACGTACCCTGATGTCATATAACATGTCTGATAAAAACAGACTTCCACAGGAAATATAAACTCTTTTTTAGATTTCAATTCTTTTGGGAATGATATTGAAATCTTTGAGTATGACTTGACACTTTGCCCCTCTTTGATAATAATTCTTATATTCAGGTTCTCGTCAGGATGTCTTATAATCACATGATCTATTAATTCACAGAACTGTTTACACTCTAAATCACATAGATGCACATGTACATATGTATGTCTCCATGATTAGTATTAACCTACAAAAAAAAGAAGTTACAATAACATTAAATATACGTTGAACATCATGTCATGTAAATATGTTAACTGCAGTTAAATTAAATCACTTAAAGTATATATTAGTGTCGCAATTTACTATCACAAAGTTTGACATACATTAGTTATTAAACCCTGATTTATTTTTATTTTGGTTTAAATGTATGGCCAATGCCATTGTTACCTTTAAAATGGGCCAACTGTTCAAGAATTGTGTTTTTAATTGTAACAAAATTTGTAGCTTGCACCCAGGCAACCGTACAGTTTTTTTTCCAAGTCCTCATAAGCAACCGTACAGAGAGGTAGCAAGCAACCGTACAGTGAGGGAACATCAACAGTTGCTAATTCATTGTCAATATCTTCGCAGCCAAGACGTTTACAAATAACATTTTTTTAATTTTCTGGTGCTTAGAACATAATTCTCGATAGCATCAAAAAGATTTGTCAAAAAGATTTGTTCAAATATAAGGTTTAAAGCTTTGAAATCGTAGTTTGATGCAAACAATTTTGATTTTTTTTCGGGTAATCTGAGTGAGAAACCGAATTTTGTCTGAAAATATATGTTTACACATTAGAATATTGATTATGAATAATTTAGTTTATGTCAGTACCACACATGTAAGTAAAATAAACCAATGATTTATTTATTTTGACATGTTTTACCTGTTTTTCAGCATTGTTCTGCGTTTTACGGTGTATATTTAGCTCGCAAGCGGAAGTCACTGTGGATGATTGAGTGTACGCTGTGTATTTGATGTAAAGCTTCGAAATTGTTGCTTGAAGTCGACAAAAAAAGACATTTTTGAGAAATCGAAATGAGAAATCGGATTGTTTTAAAAAATACAGGTATGCCACAAAAAGTAGACCGGGAAAATCATGTAAGACCCACTCATGAAAATAAAAAAATCTTCAATGATCAACTTAACTGAACTGTTTTACCTATATTTCAGTCTAAATCCGCGTTTTGTCGTGTATAACTCGCTCGCAAGCGGAAGTTAAAGTGGACACTGGAGTGTACGCTGCGGTAATAAGCTCGTGTATGCGCGACGTCACGGTGTTAGGCTTTTAAATAATCATTGTACCGTTAGCTAAAAAAATCAAAATAATAAAAAGGAAACACTTAAGGGTTGGTTTATTTTTGCGGCTTGAATTTCCTGTCTCGAAATTCTAAAATCTACGTGACAAATATTTTAGGTACGATTAATATGGTTAGAATTAGAGAACCAGACTCTAGTGAAGACATGTTTGTTAACCTTATGTCCTTATATAAATGAAATTGTTTTCTCTTAATTTTGGTTCTTTTTTTTCAAAATCAAATCTACAACGTAATATTTCTAATATAATCTACGGGACTCTGTTGATTAAATCTTGTTTAATACAATTATTCGTAACCTGTAGTTTATACACCAAAATAAAGCGTGAAGTAGTTGTTGATTATTTAATACGTAAACTTCGTCCCCGTTCTTAAAAAAAAAACTTTTTATTACATGTAAATTAAGGTACATCAAAACATACATAACAATATCAACAAAAACAAGCAATCCAAAACACATATTTTTTCTTTCTCCATGAACAATTTAGTGTACACTAAACATCAATTGTACAATAGGATTTGAAATAACCATTTGTCATTTTCATTGATAATCCGTTCTTCAAAGTTACGCCTTTTAACGTATGTTAGTGTACACACAATTAACAATAGTGATTGCTTTTTTGTAACATTGTAAGAACATTTCAATTTTGGGCTCGTTGACGTGACGTTAACATGTTTGATCTTACAAGATGTTACAATATCAATTTATAACACTTGCCCTTTTCATGCAAAATGATTAAACTGGTAAGGTGAATTTATTTTACCCTTTGCTATCAGTATATTATATTTATTCATTATCTTTATTTCTTCCATAACTGGAGATCATTCACTTAATATTAAACTAAGCAAACTTACACAACCATGCAGCATGACCTGGCTCTATACTTAAACTAGCTATAGGGATTTTTAACACTTTTTTTAAAGCAAAATATTGCCATTTGTAATCAAAGTTTGTAGAATTTTATTGACTCGTTTACATCTTTTGAGTGATAACATTGAATTGAAATTTGATTATTATCAAGCTTTTTTATATGTACAAACATCAGCGGAGTAAATGTAAAAGTTGCATATCGTGCTTTTTGTAAACGTGTTTTGCCTTTTAATTTTGATGGAATATCATTTAAACATAATTAAATCAAACTTTACGTCAAGTCCATGCAATCTCAAACACCGTTGTTCCGTCGACGAGATGGACGCAAACGATACTGATAACTAGACAAAAACTTGAATTCTGCAGGTCTATGTCATCTGAAACAAATAAACGCTTTTAATTCAAATCTCGGATTATGAATCGTATCTAAAAATATATGCATAAAATGGTGACTCTTTTGAAAATTTAAACGTTGTCGGCAGGATTCGAACCTGCGCGGGAAGATCCCAATGGATTTCTAGTCCATCGCCTTAACCACTCGGCCACGACAACTACCTGTAGTAAATGACAAAATAATCTTAACCAGAATGTCACTAGTAAAACTGTGTAAAGACATAGATCTGTGCCACTATCAGCACTTACCAGGCGTGAGATTTACAGTTCCTCTGTGCTATCACGTGATTAGAATTGTCCAAGGATGTGAATATGGTTTTGGATTTCAAAGGTATACCCAGTAGAGAGATTAGTCAAACCGCAAATGTGTCCCACTTGGTCTTGCACTATGTTGGTGGCATTATAATTTGGCAATACATTCAAAGGGTAAAGGCATCCTCTCAACTGTTAAGTTAAAATCAGTTAAAATCATGCACATATTCTGATATTTCGAAGAATTGTAATTTGTGTGTATATATAATCCCAAGAACTATGAAGAAAAAGGTTACTTATTTACAAATCTTAAATGTTTGCATGACTCCGTTAATACATTTTGACAAATCCAAGAGGGATTTTCTTTAATATTAACTTGAATGGTAATAGATGCCAACTGGTTTAGCTGTTTAGGTATGCTGTATTTAAAACAAAATTATTGGAGCTACAATGTAGGAATAAAATTAAATTACTATTACCTACTAAAACACGAATGTTTTTGAGTGTGACTGATACACAAACAGAAACAATTAACAAATGTTTAAAATGAGCAATGCTTATCGTTATTGCAATATATCATTTGGGGGCCTGCAATTAGTTCACGTATATCAAAGTTTGTTTGTGTTGATATAAAACAATGCACATTTCATTTATTAAAATGATAACAAAAGGAATATGCTAACGTATGTGTGTAAAATAGTGTAACAGTGTAAAATTTAATCGTTGTGGGCAGGATTCGAACCTGCGCAGGAAGATCCCAATGGATTTCTAGTCCATCGCCTTAACCACTCGGCCACGACAACTTCATAGATTGGATTGCTGAATTAAACTCTCCATTTTTACAGTTTTAAGAAAAACTACAATTTGGGTTTGTTTTCACCCGCCACCGGAAAGAGACCATAATATGGACGAGCATTAGAAAAAATCTACAGATGTGCTCCATTTCTAATATCATTCATGTATTGTAGCTTACTTCTGTCACAATAAGGTATTGCTGTGAAATTATACAGCATATTCATGAATAATACAATCATTTTTGATATTTTGCATGTTCTAGTGAAATAAAGAAAAGAAGTATTTCAATAAACATCATATGCTTAGCAATGGCTATTAATGTGACTAGATATTAATTGAAATAAGAATTAACCAATCGTTTAGCGAACGCATGTGCGGTTCCTTTGATTTCAAATATATATAAGAAATTGCTATTGAGATTCTTCCAATATTAACAGAAGAGACTGACTCGCTCATTCATTCAATTTTATTTCTGGATTGAAATAATCTATTTCTTATGAAATAATTAAATGCATTTCGGATTGATGAAATTTACTTTTAAATCTTCAGTTGCAAGTGTCATGTAAAATATCTCGCCATGAAATCAAAGATTATTTTGATAGTATTAATGTTTTTCTTAATCAGTATCAGTTTAGGCAAAAAGAAGCCACTGTACATTGGAGTTTTACTAGAGCTATCCGAAAGTTGGTACGCAAAATACACCAACTTTTTCCCAATTATGTTTGACGATGCATTTAAAAGAATTTATAATAGGTCAGATATTCTTGAAGGATATGAATTCAAAATGATAATAAGGGATACAAAGGTAAGACTTTGGTTATTATTTGGTGCGTTCGTTCGTCGGGTCGTCCGTTCGTTCGTTTGTACAATCGTTAGTTAATGGGTAAATGCATATGACTGAGAAACAAAAATCTTAACTTTTATTGATGAATAAGATGCATTTTAACATTGTTTAAGGTGAAAAGACTTAAAGTATATAAAGCTATATCGGATGAAATATTCCATGAAAATGAAAAAAAAAACATTAAAATTAACCATATGGTGGTATCTTTAATAATTCTTAAAAACTTTGTAACATAGAATATCTATATTACATTTAATATAACATATATTTTACGTAAACAGAATAAAAAATATTATGATGCTATTTAAGCAGGTTTTTGTGATGATTTCATGCATGCCTTACTCGCTTTCAATAAAAAATACTGACAAATTTCTTTCATTCTGTTCATTTTAATCAAAATTAAAACAATACTTTTACGACACTAAGACAACACATATGCAACTAATTCATTATAAAGCATCAATATCATAATTATTCAGTCATTGATTATTCATTTAATGGCAGTACTTTCAGCAGAAAAAAAAGCGTAAAAATCAACGTAAATGAAATAATGTAATATGATTTTACCTATACTATGGTACTAGTTAGATTAACTTGAAATCAAAATAAATGACATTTAACCGTATTTTACTGAAGTAAACCATGTGTTTAACATATGTTTGGCACACCATATGTTTTCCTTATGTAAAACATAATATTATATTATTTATGTGCACTATATGTAAAACATACGGTGCGCATTTCTTGGAGACACCATATGTTTCTAACCATATGAAAAACATGTGTTATTCATGGTACCTATATGTAAAACATATGAAAAAAAATTAGTCTGCACCATATGTAAAACATTAGTATTTGTGCTTTTCTTGGAGATAATATATGTTTCTTACCAAGTGTTTTACATACGTTTAACATGGGGTGCATCTTTACGTGTATATTTAAGAAATGTTTCAAGTTTACAAATTGTTTGATCTCAGTATGTTCTTCAAGGTGTATGCCATCAGTTAATCCAGATTATTCAATGAAAAATCAGGCTTAAAAATAAATGTATTTAGGTCTTAATAAGAGTTATGCGATATAAGGTTTAAGTAATAATTTACATGTTATGTGCGACTTATGACTGATTTATAGCAGACTTTATCAACATATTTTTACTGCATGACTGACGTAGTTAGGTCTATTTTTGCATATTTCGACCAATATTGGTTATTAACGTGAATTGCAAGATTAAATTATTTTAATTGTTTACCTTTAAATACTTTGACAAGATTTTCAAGAAAAATGGCATGAATCGGTCAAAAGTTCAACAATCGTTATACATGTAGTGTCTAATTTAAGTTATTGGTAGTGCAATGCTATGTGAGCTAAAAAAAACAACAAGAGATCCCCTATTGATAATAAACATTAAGATGTTCAAGGGCTGTGGTTTCCTGAGGTTTTTAATTGCTGAGTAGTTTTCTCAAATACAAAACTCATGAAACTATTTTTGTGATGCTTGCAAAAGTTCTTGAAAGCTTCTCGTTGGTACGACTTCCTGTAGTGCGACATGAAAAACAAAACATAGAAATCATGTGATTTTAATTCATTATTCTATCGCACATCATATTTTTCCCATATTAATTAAACAGAAAAGGACAAATCAGTGCATTATTATTGGGTATATCCGTGCCATACAAAAGAATGTTTTTCACGGTAAATGGCATAAGATGTGACGTCAATATATGAAAATGACGTCGACAAAAAAAACTTCGCTGAATGTGCTTCATAGAAGAAATTAAATGAGTGTAGGTCAAATATTGACTTTATTACACGAGTTGAATATTATATCATTTTATTCAACAAATTTCACAGATTTAGTAATGATGCTAGATGAATATAATAATAACTGTTCACAGTTCTTCAATGACGTGCAAATGGTGCATACCTAATCGAATTCTAGCACGGTTTTAAAATATTCCAATATCAAACAGATAGCACAATCAAGTGCATTATTTCAATATAATATCCACAGCATAAAAATGAATGCTTACACGTCAGATATATAATATATACCTTGCTTAAAGAAAGCTACCATCAATCGATGTCACATGCGTTTGTCAAATTCTGAAATAAATATCCATTTAAATGTTAAGTTAAGAATGGATATTGAATAATTCTTTATTATCGACGTGACAGGGTAAAGCAGGCCTAGCAGCAAGACGACTTACTGAAATGATTGAGGAGGACCCACCAAAAGTTGCAATCATTGGACCAACACTGTCGTATTCTCTCACAGTAACCGGTCAAATAGCACCATTCTATAACATCATAGAGGTATAATAATCTTTATATGTATAAGTTTCATATAAACATACAGAATGAAAGTTGTATGATATAATTAATTACCAGTTTGCATGATCTTAGAATATGAACTAAACACAAAATTTCACATTCCACTGTTTTGTCAGTTGACTGACGTACAGTAGAACAGTATGGCAGACAGACTGACAGCAAAGTAAATTCTACATGACTCCCCCTAACCCTAAGTGGTTGGGGCATAAAAAATGACAACCATTTTTTCAAATGTTGGCATCTTTATTTTTCTCAATATTGAGCTGCAAGAAATCCAAATTTGAGCCGCGTTATGACAAAACCAACATACGCTTACAGACCCTATAACAAGTAAGGAAACTGATAGCGAACAGCATAGATCCTGATCAGACTGCGCGGACGCGCAGGCTGGTCTGGATCCATGCTGGTCGCAAACCCATTATGTTGGTTTTGTCGTGACGCGGCTCATTTCAATTTTATATCCTTAACTGTGCTTAAAAGAAAATAAAAACAAGCAAAATCCCAGATGCACGACTAAACATGCTTACCAACATTTCTCGCTAAAGCTCGCCATGATACACGATCTCGCTCATTGGATAAACCTTCTTTATCCCGACATCAACCGTGTATTCTCTATATCTATAATTGCTGGATAAAGAATTTATAAAATATTAATTGCTTAGTTTCGATGCAAATGATTATTTAATTCCAGCTGTCGTATATAGCTATAACAGCCACTACTGTAGACCGCGACTTATTCTCCACGTTGTTTAAAGTAAATCAAGTCACAGATGCATTTAACCCGTTACGAATAAAAGTGATGAAATATTTCGGATGGACAAGAGTGGGTACCATGGTATATCAGGAAGAAGTATCATTTTCGGTAAACATTATGCAACTTATGTATATTATATTAACGTGTATATTATCTTTAAGTTTTACACTGCACTAAATATAACTATATATCTACATCAATGCAATTTATCTGATTGAATTATAACGATAAGAGAAGATTGAATGAATAATTACTTCTTAATATTTTGGTAAAAGTATTATTTATTCTACAACAGAGATAAAGAGCATCAAAAGTAAAACAATTATGTAAGGTTATTGTGTAGAAGTACTATTGTTACTTTGTTTCAATGTTATTCAACGACAGTAAGCATGTTTTATCATGCTTTATAACAAATATAAGGAAGGATAGCATTTTTAAAAAGACTCTCTTTCAGCAAATTGCGAATTTCCATAATCTTCTCCGTGACAACAACATGACTTTGGTGACGTCAGCTGTAATGTCATACACCAGCAATTTCAAAGATATTCTTAAAAGTTTCAAGGTAACTTTGCATAGTTATATTATAATTACTCATAAACTTGGATTGTCCTAAATACATGTAAATTTAATGTTGTTGTAAATTTTGATTGTGCAATTAGTGAAAAAAGTGTGTTTTTTTTATCTGTTTTATCTCACGCCAATTTTTTCAGCAATTATTTTGTAAAAAGGATCATTAGCATAGTTTTCCTTCTTCCATCATAATTTATACTGCTGTTTGTGTATGTAATAGTATGTATGTATTGTTGTTGTTTGGTGCTTTTCTTTGATTTTTCCACAACTATAAGTTAGAAATTATAGCCTTTGTAATAATGTACGAAATATCACTAAAATACAATAACAATTACTACAACATTTATAGTCAAAATGTTATCTCAATAAATATCTTTTATGATTTACAATTTTTCTGTGTAATCAATTCTAGCGCATTACTTTTATTTACCTTCACCATTGAATTTTAAAAACATCATATCATCTGAGATAGAAATGGCATTCGAGAGTTATACAAACTAATATAATGTATTTCGATGTAATAAGCTTACTTTATTTCATATAAATACTAAGTGACTCTACCTTTGTACAAGTGAGAAAAATCTTCAAAATTGTCTAAACAAATGTGTAAAAAATCTTCAAAACAATAACTTATATCAAATTAAATGTATAACAGTGAAATAAGAATCACGGTTTAATATACCAAGATTGGTATATAATTATAGTCATTTTTATAATGTATTTATCAACCAATCTCCGTACAATGAAGGCTACAACTGTGGCAATTCCTTGATTTTACCTAAATTATTGCGGATGCACAATCTCGAACTTCTAAATTCCCAAGGTGTTACTTACTGAATCACGTAGCAAGTGCCCTAAGATAACTTTACATAATCAGAAATTTTGCAAATTATATTAACCACTGTACTTTTGAAAAAAAAAACAACGTCTTTTACATTTTCTGAACTAACGCCATACCCGTAAAAATACGGTCTAGTAAGATGAAAAGTTTCTACAGTAAAAGTTTACAAAATGGTATAGAAGATGCTCTTTTGCTGTTGTTGTTGTTTTTTCAGTGACAGATCATTAGTAAACATCATTAGGTGAAATTTAAGATTCAAGATATTTTTCATGAGAATATCATGTTTCTGTTTGTTTTCCTCCAGGAAATCTGGCGAAATAAACATAAAAATAACTAAAGACATAATTAAGGACATAATTAAGGACAATTTTCAATTTTCCTGGAGAAGAAATGTTCTCTTGAGAAAATAAATGATGGTATAAATTTAGATTTAAGGCTTAACATAAACGAAATATTAGATAATTTTCAAGAATACTGTTGTGTAAAACAACTAAAGACTCTTCTGTAAGTAACGGTCTTTTTTTTTTTACTTTTGTCTAGTTGAACTAGTTTTGATTTCAAGATATCATTAACATTAATACCATTCATAATCGACTTCTGCAGCTACAGCAATAGCAACAAGAATAACAATAACATATGTATGGTCACTATGAGCAGCAGCAACAGCATGGTTCAAGAAAAGTAGCAAAAAATATGACCGGCACAGATAAACTTTTATAATATATAGGAATCATTGAACCTGTAATCCACTTTGTATTGCTAAAATTATTTTCATATCTTGTATTGGATTTTTTTTGTATAAATTTACACACTCACGTGGTTTTGCATTTTCACATCTTAATGCGAATTTTTACATCTTGTTTTGCATGTCAACACTTTGCTTGCATTTTTTTCAATTTTTACATCTTGTATTGTATGTCAACACTTTGTTTTGCATTTCTTCAATTTTTACATCTTGTTTTGCCTTTTTACACGTTGTCTGTTTTCTTGTTTTTCTTTGATATTTTTTGTTCCACTTCTGTTTGTACTTAAACATCTTTATTTGCATTTTCACAACTAATATTTTTGTAAGATGTTTGACAAATTATGTTGCTTTTTACATATTTTGCATAACAGTTTCATTTATTGTATAACATTTTACAACTTGTATTGCATTTTGTTAGATATTTGTATTCTTACCTCTTCTATTGTATTTTCATACTGTTTTGCTTTTTCAAAACTTGTATTTCATTTTCATATTTTATAAGATAAAGTTTGTGAATAATGGCAGCATCGTTTTACAGATTATGTTAATTAATGATGCTTAATAATTTGGTGAGAAAGCTCGAACAGATTTACCACTCCTTTTATTTATCTTAAATGTGGTTCCAAAAAGTGAAAATGAATTCTAATTACTTTGTTTTCAAACGGTTAGTGACATTATACCAATCCAAGAGTATATAGTGCGCGAACGGATGAAAGTCAAAATATATTTACATTTGCAATAATTCATTTAAATTATCGTATGAACGATAAAAAAATCACCTGACAAAATGAAATTTCTAAAAAGTTCATCGGAATTTACCTATAAGGTTCAATTTATAAAAAATAGTTTGGCATGTTTTTATATATAGGCAGATTAATATTTTATTCAAAACATTTTTCAATTTCAATTGTTGGTCTATCACCGTTATAACAGTCAATCTAGTGAATTCAGCTAAACTTCACAAAGAAAAAATGATCATAATGTCACGTTAAACGAAAACAATAATGAATAAATTATCAAATGGAAAACAGACCTTGTCCCTTTCATGTTTCAGCAATTTGGGGTGAGAATCATTATCGGCGCATTTAGAACTGAGGTAGCACCGTACATATTCTGTGAGGTAAATTTTGAAAATTATATGGTAACTCTGATCAGGCTGATCTTTCTCGTGGTATAATGATTTCTTTTTATAGGATAGATGAAGAATGATCACAAGCTTCTCGAATATCTGTATTATAACATAGTATTTTATAAAACTTGTAACATTACAATTTATTTGTATCCAAAGATTATGCATCAGTTTCAGACATTTCTTATCTGTATAGAATTTACGAAAAATATAGTTTCAATCCAATTACAATATAATTATTTTCTCTGATGTCTTTCTTAATTTGTTGCTGACTTGAAAAAAGTAACATTTAATATAGCAAACTGTATTCATGTCATGCATTCAGGCGTACCATCAGAAAATGTACGGTCACAGTCACGTATGGATACTTACCGGACCGACCATGTTCAAAGGATGGATAGACAATGCAAATTTCGATAAGATAGGATGCACAAAAGAACAATTGATCAAGGCAACTCAAGGGTATTTCACAACTGACTACCAGCGAGACGGTGACTCTACCAAAACAACAGTATCTGGACAGGTACCCCAGCTTTTGAAAGTTAATCCGTTGAAACATGCATGACTATAATTTAAGATGTTAAGTTAAGGACACATTATTCCTTAGAAACATTTGTTTTAGAAAGGACAAATATGAGTTTTATTACTTTATCTTAGAGCGTGTTAGTTTGTTATCACCTGACGAAAGGAGCGCTGAATGTGAAATTATTTGTCACAAAAATAGCAAAATGAAAACAAAGTAGTATTTGATTTCCATACAAAATGCTTAATCACTAAAATTTGTACTAACTGCCAAAATGCATCAGAAGTAAATAAGATTGTTTATGTTATAATGTTATAATGTTAATATGTTATTTTATACATGTATCTGGAAACAATAACAGAAAATATTATTTTTTTCTGAAAAAAAAAAGAAACAAACATAAAAGCATTTCTGGGGTATAATGGACCCATAAAGTTGAATAAGAAAAAAGAAGATATTTTTAAAATATTTTGTTACAAGATTGGATTGAACTATTTTTATTTTAAGGTTATGAATGCAACCACCCTTGCACCTCGTAGCCGGTTTTAGCAGGGCTCTACATTTTTAATGAATATTCAATGAATAAAGAATAATCCGCATACAATTATCATTGTGAATAGTATTGTTAAAGGTCTAGGACGTTTAGTCTAAATTGTAATGTTTTGAACGAACATCGAAATACAGTATAGTAAAATCATGTTAATAATTTGACAAATTGTTTATTGGTTAGAAATCTTATTTGTTATTTAGACATTTAAAAAATCGTAACAGTTGTTGAAGGTAGAATGACCTGTTGCATATTTGTTTTAATTTCAAGACTTGGGAACAAGCCGTAAATGATATTAAAGTACTAGCAAGCAGCACAAATTTTTCTTTGTCGTCGTCATTAACCTGGATTTATGACACGCCATGGGCACTTGCTTTAGGTTTGTATATTATCACCTTTGTATCCTTTATGAATGGGTCACACTACTTTTCTTACATCCTTAGATTTTTTCTAAAATATTTTTTTTCTGTAGGCAACACAAATATAAGACAATCTTCATCCAAAATGACAAAGGTGAAGTAATAATTGTAAATAAATTTTAAGCAAGCTTTGATTTATTGACATGAATATTAAATAACACAAGTATGATCTGATATTAAAGACTTTCTGTTTTACATTTCCCTTTTCCGCCATTTTAGCCGAATAAGAAGAGCATCGAGTTGGTAATCTACGGACGCCGGTTTGATCTTTGGATGACATGACAATTGATCTTGGAAATTTAGTCTAATGGTCATTTGTCTCTCACCGCTAATTCAAACCAGACCAAAAATGTGTTAAAATAGGCGTTGAAAACAAAACATGAAAAATAAGCGAACATAGTTCGTACATGTTTATTATATAACATGGTTACAGTTGTTTTGAAACTATTACAACGCTTGTCTACATGATGAATTCTTGCTAATGATGGACAAACCACTTTTGAATAGGAAACATATATGCATGGAGATAGTGTTATTTTTTATTCCTTATAAAACTGCTAAACTGCAAACATACAGTTAATATCACCAACGTAAAACATTCCTTTCATCCCTTGTATTTATTATGCGTAGGTACGTATGAACAATTTGAATAAACAACAAACAACGTATTTGTTTGGCAATCGTGAATTCATGAAGATGAAATTGTGAGTTTGTGAACTCCATATGTTGAAAACGTAATACATGAAGTTAAAATTGCGAATTCACGAAGATGAAACAGGGAAGTCATGAGACCGGTCTTTCGTAATCATGTGCTTATTTATATTTTTCAAATGTTTGTATGCTGTATTTACATAAATCAATTAAATAACTTGGTTTTTTATTCAATATTTATATTCACGTTTGATGAATGAATACACTTATTATTGCCGTAATGGTCTGTTTATCTTTTCTTGAAGGCCTCAACAACAGTATAAAGTATTTAGAGGCGTCTGGACTAGAGTTACACAACTATAACTATAGCGACAAATACTTGCAGGCCGTGGTTAGAGGAATGAAAGAGGTGAAATTTCAAGGAATTTCGGTAAATCTTTCATTTACGTTCATACCTCATTTTTCTTCTTTTTTTTCCTTATTAGTGTTATTTAAACAAACCACACATATAATGTGCATAACGATTAAAAGGTTAATAACTATTGTTTCCCCATCACAAAGATATCAAACTACCGATCTGTATAGTTTGATACCGCATTGAGGATGTTAAGCAAGACCAGACTTAAATAAATATTTGAGATTTTTATGCGATTTGATTGAGGTCAATACGCCAAATTTCAGATAACTGCTCTCTACTGTTTTCCAGTATAATCATTTAATAGTGCAAAATGACCTTAAAATGGAACGGATGGAGCGGTTGAACGTGTTCAGCCCAAATCTTTCGACTCAAATTGGGCCGATATTTGCACTAAATATCGATTTGTTATTGAATTTTCATTTCTTTGTGATTTTTAAGTGCTTAAGTTTATCAATGTAAGATTTTCAGACATTATGTATTTATGCTTTGTAACCTAAATGGCCTTTCCTTAAGTTTATTTATGATGCAATGTAAGCTTATTGCCAAAAGGTGTAAAACTCATTTGCTCACGCGCAAGTAGAGATGGCGTCTTCTAGAGCGTATTTCTCAAATGCAACTTAGAAGTCTTAATAAATGATGCCCCTGATAAATAAAAATGACGAAATGATGATATTTGATCACGTCACTTAAACGTGATAAGTTTATCAATCTGTAGTTATAAAGACTGGTTGGCAGAAAATAATTCAGATTCAAAGGGCTTAAAATTAAAAAAAATGAAATTATATTTTATGATTTTAGGGCCCAGTCGCATTTGATAAGACGGGAGGTCGTATAGGAGTGACCTCCTTAAAGCAGCATTTCTGTAAGTTTAAAGTGTGTATTGTATCTTTACATAAAATTTATCAATTAGTATTATCTTAAAATTCAAGGATCTTAGTAAATACGTGTTATTTAATTGTGTTAATCATTGATCTGCTCAATTGCCTGATTGGTTTTGATTGACACTTCCTGAGGTTGATTAATTATAGTTGTCAACTGCCTTGCTTGATAAATTTTCATTGTCATTTTCTGTGCTTTATTGTTATTGTTAATTGGTAATTGTTATCGGAAAATTATATCATCTTTGAGCGCCTTGTTATAGAATAATGCTATGATTTAGTTCAATTGCGCAATAATTCAGTTACGAAAAATATGAAAAACAAGATAAGCAAAGAGGGGCGGCAATGAACGCATCCCCAATCACAGGTCCACCGGCAATAAGCAAACAGGACGGAGCACACGAGCAAAAACGGACGGGATATCATTAAAACAATTCAAAAACCTGGAAGATTCACAGCATTTAAACGATAATCTATACCTTTTATAATTTGACATATTAAATGATGATTTTAGCTTCCTTAGTGTGGATTAAGAGGCTTTATGTTAAGAAAGTTTAACAAGCGTAGTCATTTCATAATATGTAAACATAAAATAAACTGATCAAAAAATATCATGAAAGCAATCAAGCAACCGAGCGTCATATTGTTTTTAGAATTCTTTTATGTAAGATGACTTAAGAAAACAACACTACTAAGACCCGATTTATTTTAAGCTAAAAAACATAGTTGCAAACTTTGGACCTCAAATCCGTATTTCTGTGCACGATATTTATCAACACAAAAAGGATTGAAAAATCAGAAATTCATTTTGTGTCTTACACACGTGCTTAAATATAAACTCACACAATAAAATTTCCACTTAGTTCTGGAAAAACATATTTCGAAATGTAAACTCAAGGCATATTTGGTATCAAATTGTGCAAAAATGTACTGGCAGCACATACAATGTTATGCTTTATAACATTTTTCTTGAAGTAGGATATTCTGTGATCAAGAACTTAGTAAGTCAATATCAGAAGGTTTTATATCCTCTGAGCATTTATCATTTTAATATCATTGGTGTTAACAATTAAGGGAGAAATATCTGATTCCTGTCTTATAAATTAAAATATATGAACACTCGTTCGAATAACTTATAAAAGCTTTCGGCGATATGTATTATCAAGACAATAAGTTTCAATGATCTAAATAGTATAATATATTATAGAAGTTGACGCCGACAAATATCTATCAAGACAAAAAAATAATGGTTTACATATTCTATAACTTTTTAATGTGATATAGATGAAGGTGAACGTAGAGTGGCATGGTATGACCCCAGCAGTGATGTTTTAACTTGGCTTATGGACAGTAATTCGCTTTGGGAAGGTAAAGTTTCTTTTAGTATATAAAAAAGGACTTCTAGACCAGTCATCTGTCAGAACATAAGATATAATTTATGATATTTCATTTATTTAATGGTATACTCTATTAACATTGTATAAAATTTTATTTTAGGTATAATGTAATCTGCTCAGACAAAGTAGAGGAAAACCCCATATTTTCAACTTTATAATTATATTCATGTGCTTTTATACGTTTCTTTTAGTAAGGGAATAATTTAAGTCGAGGTGAAATAAAGATTTTAACAAGCAAACCGGTCTTTAAATTTGTCATTGCAATTCTTTATTACATTTAAAAATGACAGATTTGTTTGTGAAAAACACTTAAAAATTAATGATGAAATAACCTTAAACTTTATTCATGACCTATCAAATATTTACAATTGTTTGACTGAAACATTTTTTTTTCTGGTGTTGTCCTTTTCATTTAAATTGTTTTAAATTTTTAATTACAGGAAGCGAAATTCCTTTGGACAGATTCACATACCAAGATGTTCTTGTTAAACCATGCTTGACGTCGTTTGGTTTCGTTGTGGCACTGAATTGTCTCGGCTTTATTTTATCCTTCATTTTCTTGATTTTCAATATCTACTACAGAAGAAACAGGTAATGCTTCATTTTATGTGTTTGGTGTAACAGCTTTTGACCTGTCTGTTTTCACTTCACGTTAACAAACGATGGATTAAATTAGAATGAAGTTTTGTGTGTATTCTCATTTTTTCTTCTTCCTCAGAGCCATTAAAATGTCAAGCCCTATGGTTAACAACGTAATTATTGTTGGCTGCTTGCTGATATATCTTGAAATACTGGTAAAGGGGATTGCTTTCTATAGGAACCAGATTGACGGCATCGGAAATAGCTTTTGCACGGTTTGTCTTCTTGTCTTATTTTGTCTTTTATACACATGGTGTATGTAAATAATTTCATTACCAGGTTTTAATAACAATCTTCACAGAAATGCTTTAGATGATTTTTTGCTGAGAATGAATGTTAACACTAGTTCTAAATGTGCTTTAAATTTATGATAGGTGTTAAGTTTAAGTATCAAACCCAAAACATACCCCATTCTTGACATATTTCTTAATTTTGATCTTAACAACAAAATAAAAAAAGAATATTGCATTACTGTATTTTGGTTGTTGAAGATATTTGTAAATATATCCATTCATTTTCAGATTCAAATATGGCTTCTCTCGATAGGTTTCACTTTATTGTTTGGAGCTATTTTCTCAAAGACATATCGTGTGTATGTCGTGTTTCGGGATCATAATATGAAGGTACTTGGTGTTTGTGTTTGTTTGTTTTTTGTTGTTTTGTTTTTCATTTGTAAGAGTAATGAGTATTCGTAACCCTAAGGACATTTAATACGGAAAAAAGAAAAACTTTCGCAGGCTTAGTTATATTGACGGCTGTGGTAATTTATAGCTACCGCCCACACGCCGTAGCATAAGGTTCAAAGCCTGGAGCATATTTCATTGAGAAATATTTTCAGAATCCTAGTAATGCTATAGAGCTGCATCACATCCAAGCATAAAGTTTCACAAAAGTTTGAAATAACGATCTGTTTTTAACATGAATTGTAAGCGTAAAGAGGCTTATATTATATCAAGTTCAGATTGACAACGATACTAAAAGTTAAGTTAAATGAATGAATATTTTATCTTAGATGTTTTCGCTCTCCTGTTTATGATATTTAACTGGAAGTCGATGGTTACAATATATGGTATTTCTAACTTCTTTTGTATATAACAAAGTTCATATCATGTCGTGCAAAAGAAATGTTTAAAACTGTTAAAAGTACATAATAAATTGCATTGTTTACAATTAACTATTTGAAACTTCGTTGAGTTACACTTTACTTTCAATCAGCAAGATTGTCAGATGGCTTGGAATTTTTGTTTTAATATACGTATGAACTATCTGAAGAAATATATAATTTATGAAAAATTGTGTGCATAATTTTTCTCTTGCTTTATTTGTATACAGCCAATTAAGGACTATCATGTGTTCGGAATGATTGGAATAATGTTAGTGATTGATGTTATCATCCTTGTACCATGGACAATATTCTTCCCCCTACAGTTAATCAAGGTTACTCGACTGACAATGGTATGTAAATATATCTTAAAGGGATATTCAGGCAAATTAATGACAAAAACGAAGAAATCAAAATTTTGCCTGTGTCTCCCTTTAGCGATTCTTTTATAATCGCGCTATCTAAATCACCCACATGACCAATAGAAATTTCAATAAATAGCGTTCGGAAATTATTGATCATGTTCATTTGATAAAAATTGAGTCAGGCAATCTTCAATTATTGACCAATCACCATTATGATAGCCTTATTTCGTAAAAATATATGGCTAATTAAGATCTATTTGACAGCAAAAAATACCCACTGTGATTAATAAAATAATTATACTTTTAAGACTAAGAATTTCTTACTTTGATGAAGGGGTATACAAATATCTTGTATGCACAAGTTCAGATCTTCCAAAATAGTCATTTTTTATCGTGCAAAATGACGTAAATATCGATTTTAAATTGAATTATGGATATATATATATATTTCTTGTTATATATGTTTCATATATTTCTATTTTAAGTTTACAAATTGATCTGTGTTAAATTAAAAAAAAATATGGCCTTTTGACCACAGAGAAGTTTCTTTAAGGTTAGCTGAACAATATTAGCCATTGTATTAAATAATAAATTGTATTGTTCAAAAGTTAAATCAATTCATAATTAACTGTTAAATATATATAAGTAGTATCGTATTTAAAATGGCATAATGCAAAATAATTTAAAATTGTTAAAATATTTCTTAACTACAGAACAAGAATGATTTCAGCAGCAACATGATATATTCGGAGACATACCTACAATGTTACCATGACAACAGTATGTACTGGCTTATGGTCATGTATATTTACAAAGGTCTTCTACTTGCTTTCGGTGTATTCATTGCATGGGAGACGCGTCACGTGACCATTCCTATGCTCAACGACTCCAAGAATATAGGCGCGTGCATCTACAATGTTGTCGTTGCGTGTATATTCGGTGTCCCTCTGGCACACATGTTACCGATAGAACAGATGACACTGGCATTTACATTGGAATCGTGTCTACTTTTCTTTTGTACGACAAGTACACAATGCATCATATTTTTACCAAAGGTAAAATATTTAAGCATTTAAGTATGAATGATAGATTAAAAGTCACATATATAACGTCCCAAAATTACTTTATTTGTATTTCTTAAGAGCTTTTTTTTTAATTTTTGGTGTACTTTAATAGATTAAAAAAAACTGTTTCTCAATGGCCACTTTCCTGAGTCAGTTTTGTATTCTGTTGCTCCTCAATATTCTGTATAATTTAGAGTGCAACATTTTGCATGTTTAATGACAAATTATTCGACATTATTGCTGGTTTCTTCTAATCAAAAGCATCTAACATGCTCTAAAATCATATCTTAAACGTGATAAAATTTAGACTTGCCTTTTCTAAAGAAGTGAAAATTTATTCGTTTCTAAGATTTAATGTGCCTTTAATATAGTAGCATTCAGAAACGTCATTATGGACGTCATTTACTACGTCATTAATTTTATCATATTATTCAAACATGGTACAAAACTTACATGATCATTGTAGATTAAAGTAAGAAACCAAGTTCACGGGAACTTTGTTCGCCAACAGCAGACGTTAAATACGGCTACGTGTTCAACCTCTAAAACAAATGGTAAATACACAACGATTTGATTTTGTTTGTTAAAGATTATATTTCTTATTATATGTGTTATTTTTTTCCCCACTAGTTTTTACATTGACAAATTTCTGTTTGTCCTAGCATAAAATATCAATTAGTTATTTTTTAATTTCATTAGCTTCAAAAACTATCTGTAAATGTATGTCATTAATAATGCATTCAAAATTGACGTCCAATGACGTCAGGGTCTATCATTTATACAACGTAACTATTGTAATCTTGATTGACTATCATTTTATCTATCTTACCAATTACAAACAAATATTCTTCATTTTTAAAGGTTTTTTAAGTTGTGTGGAATCTCATTTTCACGTCGTAATTTGTGAAGACAATTCATGCAATGAATATATGTGATATTTAACTATGATGAATGAATATATGTGATATTTAACTATGATACATGAATATATGTGATATTTAACTATGATACATGAATATATGAGATATTTAACTATGATACATGAATATATGTGATATTTAACTATGATACATGAATATGTGTGATATTTAACTATGATGAATGAATATATGTGATATTTAACTATGATACATGAATATATGAGATATTTAACTATGATACATGAATATATGTGATATTTAACTATGATACATTAATATACGTGATATTTAAGTATGATACATGAATATATGTGATATTTAAGTATGATACATTAATATATGTGATATTTAACTATGATACATGAATATAATATTGTCACGGTCTAGGCCGTGAGGTAAAACCTTTGGTAGTGTGGTCTCTCAGTAGAGGTTTAATTGCGTAGTCTGTAAAGGGAGTTGATTGGTTCCCAAAGTTTACTTCTATATTAATTACTATTTTATATCTACTTTGCTCACCTATAATTTTAACGGAAACCTAGCTCTACATAGATAAATAAATTCTCTATAACCATTTAAACACTGTTTATTCCAGTAGTATATTGCAAGTTTATTTTGTTTATAAAACAAAGTTACAATAACATAATAATAAATTGTCAACAAATGAGCACAATTGTATTTTTATCATTCAGCAACAGATTCTATACGATAATGTATTAATAAGTAAAAGTTTGTAGTAGAAATCATCAGAGTTTCAAGTCCTATTAATGTTAAAACCGTTTTCTAAGTTATATCTCCCTTAATTTAATGTATCTTAATGTCTAACGCGTGTACCTTCTTTAATAGTCAACACGGAAAAATAGCGTACCAGTGAACCGTGACCAAATTTAACAAGCAGTTAATTAATCTATTTCAAACAGTAAAGTGTTAATAAAAAACGTGTAATAAAGATTAAATATCTAGAAAATAGCTCAGAACTGTTTAATCTGAATAAATAAATCGTTATTTATCAAGAATAGTTTAATTACTTTAGTACGTAAAATTGCAGACGGCACTTATAAATTTTTCCGCTCAAATTTGTATCTCAACAAAACGGGGTTTTGCCTCTGAAGTTCTGGTCAAGACTGAGCCGTTCAGCCAAAAATCCGGGCCCTTTTATACCCAGACAAATCCCAACCAAAATAAAGTGGGTGAAGTGGTTGGTTTACTAAAGTGGTTGTGGTTGGAGCCAAAAAGTGGTTGGTCCGACCAAGAAATATTGGTTGATTTACCAAAACGGTTAGAAATTTAAACATAGACTCTTAGACCTATGGAATAATAAAAATGGACATAGACATTTTGTTACAAATATTACGGCATTATCTTAAACAAGTTATACCTTTTCAATGAAGAACTTTGAACTTTGAACTTTTATTTCAAATTCTACTTTGAACTTTGAACTTTGAACTTTTATTTTCAAATTCTAGGCCTCTGAGAGGCATCAGAACACAACATATTAAACATGAACAAATGACGTAATACAAATTTGCTATATAACATGAACAAATGACATGATACAAATTTGCTATGACTAGATAAACAGAAAATTATCATATCAGACTAAATTTGAGAAATATCAGACAAAATTTGAGCAATATCAGACACTGAGCCATTTCTAACACATAGGTGATAAAAATACATGTTAGCCTTAAGAAACATAATATTATACTACACAATACTATTTACTATCAAAATGTATACATATATTACACAACCTCGTTTATCATTTGAAAACATACATTACTTTCCTGCAATAAAACAGCAAGTTAACAAGCTCGTTTTTGTCTGTAATATTCATTAGCAATGAATATTTCAAAGTATTAGGATTACTAGTATATCTTACTGAAATATATTTACGACGCTCCTGCTTAAAAAAGTCACACACAAACAGGTAATGAAATTCATCCCCTAAAGAGTTTGTATTACATAAATGACATGTTCTTTCATCTCTCGGGATACCAAAGAATCTCCCCTTTTCTATAGGTAATCTATGGTTCGTACATCTGAACTTTAAAATAGCATTAGACAAATGGTAAGGCAAAGTATCTAGATAATTTTCAAAAACAAAGGAATCTTTGTACATTCTGTAATTAAGGCTTTTACTGGACTCAGCCACAAAACTATGCCATTGTTGTAAATATTGATCTCTCAATCTAGTTTTAACAATGTTCTTGAACAATTGCTGTGAAGAAGGTATATTATACATCCAGTAATTTGACATGCCCAGAGAGTCCAATAAATTGTGTACATAATTGATCCAAGGTAGTTTTACATTGTTATCATCACTATACAACTTATAAGAAACATTATACTATCTAGAAAATACACAAAAATCCGATCGCAGAATTTCGTCAATAAATTAGCTGTAGCCGGTCGTCCTCAGTAACGTACCGGAAACAGTTCAAAATGGCATCATGAAGCGAAAGTGGGAGCACGTTTTTCTAAGAAAACGGATCATAACTACAAAAATACATGGAAATAAACATTGTTACTTGGCAAAACAGTGACTTAAATAATTTACAAACAATAACAATAGGATTTATAATCACAGGTAACGAGTGAGAGTGACAATTCCCCTCAGAAGTTAGATTGAACTGCACATCGTGAAAATGGAGGATAAACAAGGAAAACATTGGATAAAATAGAATAGATAAAATCTGGCTCATAACCCGTATACATGGGTTGGTGTTTTGATTTCTAGTAAAACACAGCTCATTATAAGTTTTATGGCTAGAAAATGTCAACATATCCTTACTATTAAAGATTAGAAGAAAAGTAATTTCTCAAGTTCAAGTCAATTAAGGTAAGGAGTTGAGTTCATGCTGTTCAGTTATGTTATAGTTATAGTTGCAAATTTCAGATCACTACAATATTATGTGATATTTAACTATGATACATGAATATATGTGATATTTAATTTTGATACATAAATAAATGTGATATTTAACTATGACCATTTCAATATTCATTATGGACAGTGGTGAATACAGAAATGAAGGCACCAGATCATGATGACAATTCACAAGATGTCGGTCTGAAAAAGGAAAATACAAGATTACGGATGATCGTAGCTAATGTATGTAAAATTGTTGTTCACGAATTAATCAGTGACTTCTTGCTTTTATCTTTTAATAACAAGGAGGTGGGAGGCACGATGGCCTTATATCGTCCAACTGAGATCTATACTGGCATGCGAGCAGTTCCCGTACAAAAATCATAGTTACTTAAACATTATTTTTTATTACACCAAAGTTTGAATTTTACACATCAATATTCGGCTCGTCACACAAATCATGGACATTCCATCATGTTCTTAACATACAATAACCCTTACTTATGAGGCCTCATATGGGGTACCGAAATTATCGATTATTTTGTATGAAGAGAAGTAGTTCCCGTACATAAAATCTAACCCATTAAAATTATACAATTTTACATTATACAATCGGACCTATTTTTCATTTACAATTGTTGAACAGACCATTATCTAAGAGATAAATAGATGTAATTCAGGAAATAGAGCGTAGACTAAACGCGGGTATCTGTTACCCGGTACCGTTACCCCAACGCATTCACATGCAGTAGCATGCTTGTATGCATGACATTTTACGCATCAAAGCCATAAAATTATTTTATATAGTAATATTGGTCAAAATTCTGATAATTAAACAAGTTTTTATCACATTGCCTACTTATCTGTAAACAGGTGGATTAAGTGGAAAACCCTTTAACAAGCCTCACGAGTAAGTATTTTTGCGCATGCGCGCAAGGACGGAATCCCCCAGAGAAAACAAGGTCACGTTTTGACGACGCACAGGTGAAAGTGATTTAAAATGAGACTTTTTATACGTACTGCCGAACTGACACTTAGATTTTGTCTCGTTTATGTATCTGCTTGATTTGAAATGAATTTTTGAAGAATGCAAGTAAAAATCGAGCGTTTAAATGAAAAATACGGGTACTGCTTCTGTACGGGAACTGCTCGCATGCCAGTAGATAGTGAAGTCATTATTCAATGCAGAAGAAATTAAAAGGTCAAAACTTTGAAGAGTCCTTTTTACCGTAGCTTTATGATAAATGAAATTAATTAAAACCCATTTAAAGAAAGTTTGCTGACAGTAATAAATTTTAGGGTTTAAACAGGGTCCATTACAATTTTTGCTCATTTACTTTAGTTTGATCATTTTAAACTTTAAAAATTTTTTTCACATAGGTAAGCAAAAAAAAAAAAAGGACCCCCGAGGGTCCCTTTTGGGTTCCCCGGCATAATTTTTAAAAAAGTTTTTGAAGATCACTAGGCAATACTACATGCAAAATATCTAAGCTCTTGCCAAAATAGTTTCAGAGGAGTAGACTCTTATTTTAGTCTAATTTAAGCTTTTTCTAAACTTATTCATTAGACTGACACCATTTATGAAATTGTTGTAGAGGGTCACCTTAGATCATTCCTGTGATATTTGATTAAAATCCAACATGTGGTTTAGGAAATACCGTTTCAAAAATTATTGACAACGTCCAACACAATGCCTGCACAAAAGCCAAATGTTGAACCTTGGTGGCAATTTGTACGGAAGAGCATTAGTGCCAGGTGTATGTTTTTATTAACTCGAAATTTCGAGTTACTAACTCGAAATTTCGACTAACTTATCTCGAAATTTCGAGTTACTAACTCGAAATTTCGACTTATTATCTCGAAATTTCGAGTTACTTATCTCGAAATTTCGACTTACTAACTCGAAATTTCGACTAACTAACTCGAAATTTCGACTTACTTATCTCGAAATTTCGAGTTAGTAACTCGAAATTTCGACTTACTGACTCGAAATTTCGACTTACACTGCACGACTTTCATTGGTTGCCGGTGAAAGCAAGGATTGAATTCAAGATACTTTCTTTCGTGTTGTAGCTGTTACACATTGACAGAGCACTTTAACATTTATTTAACAGAACAATTTTATAGGGCAAATTGTCCACACATACTGAACATATCCTTCGCTTTTTTGTGGAGGGGGGGGGGGGGGGTGTAAAATCACACTTTCACCATTTCAGTGTTAACCGGTGTTTCTTTTTTCTTAAGCACACATACAACCATCATGTGGAGAAACAACAAGTCCAAAACCAACCCTATTGTAAACTGTGCAATATCATGTGTTAAATAAGTTTTAAATGGCGTGTATACGCCAGTTAGTCTGTCACGTTTCTTTTACTAATAATGTTTTGTAACATTATTCATTATTTACTAACCATACTTTGATTCATATTGTGTTGATAAAAGTTGATAAAAAAGTGATACTTGTTGTTATATATATGTTGGGAATAATATAAAAGCATCCGATTTTACAAGAAATATTGTCAGTCCCAACAATTTTGACAAAGGCCTCAGCACGCCCTATTTTGGCCACGCCGCGATACTTTCCTCAGATGTCCCACACGTGAAAGTATAGGATCGGTTTTTTTACAGGGATGAGAATAATATGATTAGTGAAAAGATATGCTCGAACAGATGGGATACAATACAACGTCTGAAGAACGCCTGAACGTACAAATTAAAGGAAGCCTTGTAATTTTAATGTCGGGTGTGTACATGCCATTACTAAGTTTAAGTTAAATTTCAATAGTTTTTGTCCATGTACCCGGTTCTCCATCTCCATCGTTCAAAGGCACTGCCTACTATATCTTATACCATCTAACTAATAACTTTGGCCATTCTTGTAATGTTAATAAGTCGAAATTTCGAGTTACTAAGTCGAAATTTCGAGTTAGTAAGTCGAAATTTCGAGTAAGTAACACGAAATTTCGAAATAAGTAACTCGAAAATTCGAGTTAGTAAGTCGAAATTTCGAGTTAGTAAGTCCAAATTTCGAGTTAATAAAAAACATACACCTGGCACTAATGCTCTTCCGTAAATTTGATTGTTCTGCTAATTGTATAATATTTCAATTGCTTTCAAGACATTTATACGGAAGAGCATTAGTGCCAGGTGTATGTTTTTATTAACTCGAAATTTCAAGTTAGTATCTCGAAATTTCGAGTTAGTAAGTCGAAATTTCGACTTACTAACTCGAAAATTCGACTTAGTAACTCGAAATTTCGACTTACTAACCCGAAATTTCGACTTATTAACTCGACATTTCGACATACTAACTCGAAATTTTGACTTAGTACCTCGAAATTTGGACTTACTAACCCGAAATTTCGACCATATATCTCGAAATTTCGACATACTAACTCGAAATTTCGAGTTACTTTTCTCGAAATTTCGACTTAGTGACTCGAAATTTCGACTTACTGACTCGAAATTTCCACTTACATTGCACGACTTTCATTGGTTGACGGTGAAAGCAAGGATTGTATTCAAGATACTTTCTTTCGTGTGTAGCTGTTGCACATTGACAAAGCACCTTTAACATTTATTTAACAGAACAATTTTTAGTGTCAAATTGTCCATACATACTGAACATATCCTTCGCTTTTTTGTGGAGGTGGGGGGGGTGTAAAATCACACTTTCCACATTTCCATGTTAACCGGGTGTTTCTTTTTCTTAAACACATACAACCATCATAAGGCACTCCCTACTATATCTTATACCATCTAACTAATAACTTTGGCCATTCTTGTAATGTTAATAAGTCGAAATTTCGAGTTACTAAGTAGAAATCTTGAGATAAGTAACTCGAAATTTCGAGTTAGTAACTCGAAATTTCGAGTTAGTAACTTGAAATTTCGAGATAAGTAACTCGAAATTTCGAGTAAGTAACTCGAAATTTCGAGTTAATAAAAAAACATACACCTGGCACGAATGCTCTTCCGTACATTTATTAGTAAGATACAAATTATTAAGATAATGCTGCACATAACATGTCTAGGCTGATTTGGCGAACAGAATTTGATATGGACGTCCATGTTTTAAAAACTTTGAAAGAAGACAATCTGCCGATTATTCCTGCATATTTTGGTCACAACTGAGTCAGTTGTGTAAGGAAATATATTGTTTTAAAAGATGTTTGACGTCTATATACGATGCACAACTTATGACAGGCACAAGGTGTTGCTCACCTGAGCAAATTGTCCTAATCTGCTCAGGTCAACTAAAAAAGAGAGAGCAATTGAAATATGATCCAATTAGCAGAACACACATTTTATAACAGTCATACTGTATCCTTGCATATCGTGGCTAATTCCTTAAGAGAGAATGTTAAAATCGCTAAAAATACTTTAAAAAAAAAAACAATAAAAAACAACAAGAATATAAGATGCCTTGATTGGGATTTGAACTTCAGAACTTTCGCTTCCTAAACGAGCATGTAACCCTGGACCACGGGGAAATTATTAGAAAACAGTCTGAAGCAAACCACATTAATTTAGGATTAACTTCGAGATATTCACGGTTAACCTGTTGTTTAACACCGATATAAATAATTTAGCAAAAATCTTCGCGCCCAAACAGTCCGACATGTATATAGTATTTCATTACTCTTTGTGTAATACGCGCTGAAGTGTGGCTAAAAACAGCAATTTGTTTACGTGGTTTAAATTATCGGATGCTTAACTTATAAGACCATTACTTAAGGTAGAAATTGTTTATCGTTCGACGACTGCCTAAATTCGTCCCTGACCTAAAGTCTTACTTTTATTTTACAGAAAGTCTAAAAAAAACAAATTTTAATTTAGGCGATCACAATAATCCGGAGCTTTACAAAAATAGCCGAGCAATTTTCATTGAATCTGCGTAATTTGTGATTGTGCTTTATTGACAATTCTATAAGCCAAAGCTACTTTTAAACTTTGAATGTGTTATAATTCGCTATATACTTGTAACATAATAAAAGTATTTCTTTCTTTTACATCGCTAGTTTAAGCTGTTTTGAGAACTACTTTTTGTTGTTAAGATTGTTTGGAGGCGCTGTTCCTGAGATTGAATGTCAGCATTGTATTTCCTTATCTGCTATCAGAAAATATAAGAATAGATTTTAAACACTTTTGCTCATTCATCCTTTAGACTGATGTTTTTCATATTTGGTTGGTAAATATCTTAAGTTGTCCACATTTATGGAGGGATTCGAACTCATAGCAAGATATCAAAAATATGCAATATTTGCACCATGCAAATTTTTTAACCTTTGGATTTCCCGAAAAGTAGGAAAAATAACCATTTTGACAAGAGCATACTTATATCAATATTCTCTACTTCAGGAAGCGATTGCTGTCGCACGGCTACGTAAACAACTTTTACAAGTAACTGGAAATGTCCATTTCTATAAAAGTGGGGACGACTATGTAGTGTGTAGAAGCGAGGGTCTGATGCGCAGGCAAAGTCTAGACGATGATATCGCAGACGATAACACTTCTAGAACAGACGAGAACACTTCCAGAGCATACGACAATATTTCTTAAATCTTTGACTCGCTAGAACCTAACAAAACAACTACAACAAAACATTTTTTCAACATGCCTTATAGGTACTTGCATCATAGTTTGCAGACCTTCTATTAAAAATATGTAAGAGTTAAATCGTAAACCCACACATGTACAGTGGGTAAACTGGATTGCTGGTATTAGTTACCCGCACTCCAGTTACCGAACTGTCTGTCTGGGATAAACATTGATCGGCTACATTTTTTCTGTGGCTTACTTATGATGGCGACAAGGAAAGGGAAAATGGTTTCGATACTCTTAAATTGGTTCATTTTTTCTGGGGTTTCATATTGTGACGAAAGTAAAAGTGTTTTTATTTTTGCTTATGATGCCCTAACGTACAAATCAGATTGTCTCGTGTTTCGATGCTGTTTCTATTAAATGTAAATAAATTGTGATTCAAAGGGTGTTTGAAAGTGGTACATTTTACGGATATGCATGTTTTATCATACTATAATTAGATATATGTTGTTTTTTTTTTCAAATACATAATCTGAACTGTTTATATATATTGCTACATACATGCAATTTGGACAAAGTGTTTCAGTGTCTATTCTTGGATTCGAAAAACAGGGGGATTTTTATCGAAAAGTGAGAATGGCCTTTTTCCTTCTTTCTCTATGTAAAATTTTCCCCCTACCTCTGAGAAAATAGGGGGGAATTCTAAAAAAAGTGAGTGAATCCCCTCACCCCCCTTCTAGAATAGACACTGGTGTTTAACTATGTTCTCATATTTTTATAAAGCGTATGTAAAGTAAAAATATCATTAATTTAATAGAAACCTTTACACCTCTTTGGAAAATGCTTTGTGGTGTCCATACCTAGTATTTATCGATTCCATATATATTTATTACATCAGTTAAGAATATCTAATTGTTACAGTTATGAATCACCTTTAGTGATGGTTCTAAATTACATCTGTTTTTCAAGTAAAACACTTGAACACTTTAGTCACTTATACAACTGTTTTGTGTAAAGTTCATGAAAAGTTTGCTTATTTATACACCCGTTTTGTGTACAACGCTTGAATTGTTAACTCATTTATACATCAGTTTTGTGTGAAACGCTTCGATAGATTAAGTATTTACATCTTTTTTGTATAAAACCAGCTAAAAGTTTATTTATTTATACATCTGTTTTGTGTAAAGCCTTTGAATAGTTTGCTTATGCTTTTTTATACATCCGTTTTGTGTACAAGGCTTGAATAGTTTACACATTTACACATTTGTTTTGTGTAAAGCTGCCAGAAAAGTTCATTCGTTTAATACATTCATTTTTGATCTGTTAACTCATTTATTTAACTAGACATTTTTGCGACATCAAAAAACATCACGATTATCTAATCATCTATTTACTTCGTGTTTAAACAGTTCGAAATCACATGAGTGAATTACATATTGTTACGTAAAGGTTGTAACTTGATCTTATGTTTTATTGTATAGCTTAATGAACATTTTATGAATATTCCATATACTGTTTTAAAGATACCATCACCTCATAACATGCTTAACTTAATTCAACTCTGACAACTGATTCTATCCGTGCAACCAGTGCAGATCAAGATTTCCCCGTTACAACCGTGTCGTCTGATCACAGTTTGCACTAATCGCTATTTATTCAGTACACATTTTAGGTAAAAATGATGAATAGTTGTGTTCAAATTGATAGATGAACAAGTCCATGGAACATATTTATCATGGTATCATGGTAAGAGTTATACGTATATGTATCATTTTACTAAATAAACTCGTTTTTGCTGTTTGTCATAAAGTGTTTGCGTTTTAATATTGCTCTTGGTTATGGAAAAAAATCATGGCTCAAAGGGGTGTTCCGTACTTTCACTATTCGTTCAATTATTTCTCTTTGTATATACATGACTGCACTTGACTGACTATAATATATCCATCTCGAAAAGTCAACAATTATATTTTCATTTTTATGCTAAAACTAATCAAATGCATCTATTTTTCCATACCTATATATAAAATTGATCAATAAACTGCATATTAAATTGAAAACTGTTTATTAATACTCATCATACACATCCTAGATATTGTACCGTCGTTCAAGTATTTCAAATTTTGTAACCGATTTTAATATTCCATTCAGTTTATTTCAAATTTACATGTGTTAAAAAGCCTCCGACTCGAAATACATTTAAATAATGTCAATATCTATCTAATTTATACGGTTTATATACATAAACATATATTTTTGAAATGGTATGCTTATAATATCTGAAGGTTTAGATATTTAAAACCAAACGATGTTCAAGTCAATTTTAAAACAAAAAGATGATGTTCCGTACAATTTAAAGCAAACAGACGGTGTTACATTCAATTCAAAAACAAACAGACGGTGTTACATTCAATTCAAAAACAAACAGATGATGTTCTATTCAATTCAAAAACAAACAGATGATGTTCTATTCAATTCAAAAACAAACAGATGATGTTCTATTCAATTCAAAAACAAACAGATGATGTTCTATTCAAGTCAAAAACAAACAGATAATGTTCTATTCAATTCAAAAACAAACAGATGATGTTCCATTCAATTCAAAAGTTAGCAGATGATGTTTCTTTCTATTCAAACTATCAGCAGTAAATATTTTTTATAGAGTCATAGAAAATCAAGCGCATTACATACAAAAATAAGTTCATAGTCAAACTTTTTATAAAACATGTATAATTATTACTGTTATATATATAGACACATGTATATAAAAGAACGGATGACTTCCCATCGAAGTGTTCAAACTCTGGGAAGATCTATTTACGACTTTTTCGTCCTCTTTTCCAATCTCACAACAACAGGTTTCGCAGGTTTACCTAGTCCAAGAGGTGATGTAGGCATCGGTACCTGTGATAACAAGACAAGTATTCTTTTACCTTTACACAATTTTACAATAATGTAAAATTCAGTAAAAAAAATTCAAAGATTTAAACGGATATTGTTAAAAGAATTCGTAAAAATATGTCATAATGCTTTAAGAAGAGAGAAAAAAAATGGCTAAATTTTAATTAATTCATTCATTCATTCATATTTTTTATCTTTTAATATACTTATTCATTTTTTTTAAAAGAATTATGACACATAACATATGAATGTTTCACAGAAACGCTATTTAATTATATTACAAATACAAATGTATTGGGGATTTGACACTTTGATTTGATTCAATGATTGGTCTCACAACATCATTTGAGCCGCGTCACGACAAAACTAACATAGTGCGTTTGCGACCAGCATGGATCCAGACCAGCCTGCGCATCCGCGCAGTCTGATCAGGATCCATGCTGTTCGCTTACAAACTCTATTACAAGTAGAGAAACTGATAGCGAACAGCATGGATCCTAATCAGACTGCGCGGATGCCCAGGCTGGTCTGGAGCCAGGCTGGTCGCAAACCCATTATGTTGGTTTTGTCGTGACGCGGCTCATTTATTTTTTATTGCTCTTTATAACACGATATCACATATTCTTAAAGAACTGATATTATAATAAAAAGTTCAAAATTCACCATTTTTAAATGAAATAAAATGTTGTAAAATATGGAATCATATATAGTACATACATAATGTTACAATAAACGAGAATATATTTAACAGCCAGGTAGTGAAAATTAGAAATCGCTTTTTGATGCAAATGCATTGAAGGCCCTATAGAATAAAACGAATTGTTCGCTAAATCGACATTCCTTTTAAATCTATAAAACTATATATCTGCTGCCAGTATTACTGAAAGGTATTGTTTGATTTTGAAGGAAAATCAAAGTGATTAAAAAACTATATGAGAGAAATATGTTTGTAGATGTATTCTTAAGAGCGAGTGGTGTATGCAATAAATCATTGTTAAACGATAAAAGCCCTACTTAAAATAGAAACATAATATTTACATACGATATGCATGTTTGTTAAATAACTCTTTCGAGAATCGACCATAAGATTCCAGGGGACCCAACAAAATTTACAAAATAATTCTTTTTAATCCATAGCCTTTAAACATTAAGATCTAATGATTTTTCCCCAAGAATATACAGTAAACTCCACTTATAACAATATCGCTTATAACGATATACCGTTTATAACAATGCTGTTGCCGTTGTTCCGACTATTGTTTTCAGATTGGTTGCCCCTCGAATATAACGATATACCGTTTATAACAATGCTGTTGCCGTTGTTCGGACTAGATTGGTTGCCCCTCGGATATAACGATATACCGTTTATAACAATGCTGTTGCCGTCGTTCCGACTATTGTTTTCAGATTGGTTGCCCATCGAATTATATATATTAGATATTAATTTGGCGGTCCTCTGAATATTGTCATAAACGGAGTTTACTAAAAATTTCACATTATTTCTACTTACTTCAAGCTGATCTGTCTTGTGTATTCTGTAACGTTTTAACAATGTCACAATGGTGGCCTTGACCTCCAGAAGAGCCAAACGCTTTCCTATGCAGTTCCTCGGACCTTGACCAAACGGCATGTATGCATACTGGTTTATTTTGTCTTTATTTTCCGGTGCAAACCTTAAAAGATATATTATTTTTAAATAAATCGCTTTATACAATTGTCAAATCAAAATAAGTAAGGTGGAAAATAAAAATTGCCGACGATAAAATACACAAACAATAAGGACACCCTTCGATCTACCTGTCCGCTCTCTATATTTTAGATTAGTAAAGCGGACGATTTGTTTCCCGATCTTCTATTTTTAGAAACGAACGAGTTATAAATAGCTCTCGGGACGGGCTTTTTGGGGATGCACTTTTCAAAGATAGAATTAATGAAAACAACACAAAGTTGTTTTTCCAATCGAAAATAAAAGCTGGAGGCCGTTTTATTTATTTTTACTATATAAAAGAGTCTAAGATATGGTTTAAAATTAACGTGAATTTCTTTACTTAATTTTTTATAAAAACTTAAATAAGTATTAGAAAACGTCATAAATTAAATCTCAATCTGATGAAAGCAACAAAAGTAGACTTTGCAAACATCTTTTTATCAGACCAGACATCGACTTCAGGACGAACATTAATGTGCGCGCACACCACCCCCGATTTCTAGGCCAAACTAAATAAATCATACCCAGTTGTGTGACACCCGCCCTTTCATTTAATTCTTGATGTTTTTTTAAGTTTTGATGTGTTTGGGGGGGGGGGGTGATTTTATTTTATTTTTTTTATTTATTTATTCATTTTTTCCATTTTCTATCATTTTTTACAGCAAATTGGTAAATATAAGAAATTAAGCAGACGACAATTTTTGCAAGCATGTTGGATGGAAATAAAGTTACCTCTCTGGATCATATTTATTGGGATTCTCCCAGTATTCCGGCATATAATGAAGTGCCAATACGGACATTGTACAGTCCATGCCTTTCTTGATCTGTAGCCCATTTATCTCAACATCCTCTAAAGCCAGGCGGTTCAATCTGAGAGTATAAGAAACAGGATTTCAATATAAATACAAAAACTGGTTTAAGCATATTTATTTAAGCTCGATTGGGAAACAAGTCCTTGCAACCTATTAATCGCTTTCGAGTCCGCTCCCTGAAACCAACCAGTACTGGTGTCATATGAAGAAACATGGTCGTGTATCGATTAGAGCTCCAACTCATTACACCTGGGTTGAGAGGCAGACACCCTAACCATTAGGTCACCGCTCTCCTGTGTTTATTAATAAAATTAGTAAATTCATTACAAACTAGTTCATTCCTAAGCTACATACAAACTATAAGGACAAATAACAGATCAACTGAAACCATTTACACGCGCTCTAAGGTGAAAATTACAGATTCGATTGATCGAGTCTATTGACGAGAGATAATGCTACGTACAACACACTTCCGGCACCTAGCACCGAGTTCAGCTTTATCTTTGAAACACTTCATAATTATATTGGATTCAAATTCACTGCAGCATGGTCACTAGGAAAGGTAGGACCAAAAAATAAATATCCTAGGCACAACTCAAAATGATGTTACTTTTAAAAATTATTTTCGGTCAATTATCCTTTTCGGGTAATTATCCTTTTCGTATACATACGGTAGTGTTTATTTGTAAGCATTTACAAAATTAAATTGGTCTCGACCATTTAATGAAACATACATTAACCAATTTAGTGATTGATATTATTTTATAAACAGTCGCTTTGCTAGACAATTGTCAACTTGCTGATTTACTGAAGTAAATGTGTCACGATTTATTTGAAATCCTACAATCCTATTGGACGAAAAATAATTATAACACTCGCATTAAACGTTTCTTTTGTATTTCACGACAGTGTCACGAACTTATACACAAAACCGCTAAAATATGTACCAGTATTTAATCAAAACTTTAAAGGGACTTCACTGAATTTTGTGAAATGAGGGGACTGTAAGTATTTATTTGTCGAGATTTTTATACTACTTGGTGTAGGTCCGGAAATGTGTGTGCAAAATTTTAAGAATTATCATTTTCAATAGTTAAAGCATTTTAACGGTTTAAACTCAAATCGGACTATTAATCATATTGAATTTAGATTTTCAATTTAATTCTCGATATATTCTTCATCATCTTCTTTTTCACCATTATTTCTATATATGTTTATATATTTACATTTTAGCGCTCCAGTTTATTTAAGATTTTTAAATTTCATTTATTTTAGGGTTTTGGACCTTGATGTGCAGTGGGGTTCCTTTAACTCGAAATCCGTAAAAGAACAAACCTTTGAGCTGGCGGGTGCATCCGCAGTGATTCGTTCACAATCATGTCGAGGTATCCCAGCTTGAATACATTGTCATAAGTAGTGTCCGCCTAAATTGAAATATATATTCTGTTGTTATCTATATCCCATATTTTTTATATCTCATTCCAAAATTTTGCTTTAAATATGATTCGAGTGAGTCATGTTTAAATCTGCAAACCTCGAGAAAAGTTAAAAGTGAAAGTGAGAAAACTTGAAAAAGATAAATTAATTAACGTGCAGAATTACAAATTGTTATGAATTTGTCTAATGTTTTAAATAGTCATAAAAGTGAAATATAGAAATCCTTTTTCTTACAAATTTAATAAGTCATTGCTTTCATTTGCATGTTAAATGAGCATTTGAGCTGCGTCATGACAAAACCAGCATAATGGGTTTGCGACCAGCATGGATCGAGACCAGCCTGCGCATCCGCGCAGTCTGATCAGGATCCATGCTGTTCGCTATCAGTTTCTCAAGTTGTTACAGGGTTTGTAAGCGAACAGCATGGATCCTGATCAGACTGCGCGGATGCGCAGGCTGGTCTGGATCCATGCTGGTCGTAAACCCATGATGTTGGTTTTGTCATGACGCGGCTCATTTAATTAATGTTTACAATGAGCTCAATGGTTGTTATACTTACATCCCCAATTTCTGTATCTATCTCCTGTACAAGTTTATCCTGACAGTCAGTGTTTATAGCAAGATCATAAATTATCCATGACAGAGTAGTCGCTGTTGTATCATAACCAGCAACCATAAATATTATAGAATTAATCAGAACCTCAGTATCATTCAAACCTGAAATCAACAAGGAAAATACAGGTGATACTATGATAATATATAAGGTTTTTATTATACATTATTATGTACCAAACTAAGTTCCATCGGACCAGTACACGGCTGTCAAATCTAGCGCCTCGTCCAATATAGGTTTTGCAGCTGTATACGAGTTCAATTGAAACAGTATTGTATTAAACAATGCATAATGACTTCTTTATTTCATACTACTAATTTTAATAGAATATTGTTTCTCCGAGTTCATAGATTTTATATAGATGTTTTGTACTCACAAAAATGAAACTGAGGCAGGACGGAGAGCAATATGTATTTGATATATATTTTTGAACTAGGTAAATGAAACCAAGGTTAAATTGATAAGATTGGATCAAATAACGATTTCTATAAAAACATCACGTGGTGCATGACCTTGACCTTAAACCCAGTGACCCCAAACATACCAATGAAAAAGAGTAAAAATCTATTGTTAACACAGGTGACCTTAACCTTTTGACTTCCAACTCTGGACCAACCAAGAAATAAAAGACATCAGTAAATAAATGTTGTATTAGCAAAAGTGTAAAAACTATTTTTAGCAGTGGTGACCTTTACCCCACTGGTTTAAAGGTAGAACCCAAGTTATGTTTCTTCTAAAAATAAAAGACATATCTTAGAATAATTATTAAAGGTTGTACGTACGCAAGTGTAAAAAATATTTTTGGCAATGGTGATCTTGATCCAAATATCCCTTAACTCTATCCAAAGTTTAACATGAAAGACATTAGTTTACAAATAAAGGCTGTATGGGCAAACGTGCAGAAAACGTTATTTTCTTTACACGAGATCGCAAGAAAGACTTTTAACCTCGTGGAAAGTTCAATTACTATTTGCCTAAAGCAATTGATAAAAAAGTAAACAAATCGTCACCTCTTTGTTTGAAGCCTTCATATGTGACTGCCTCTTCAGCGTCGTCAGTTTCTTTGTCATCAATATCGCCTCCTTTATGTGTATTGATTAACAACTGTAGGAGATCTCGGTGTTTCTGAAGGCAATAAAACAAAATAAAAAACAAGTACAAATTCGAGCAATGAAATCTTTTGTAAACAATTTTGATTAAAGCGAGAAAATGGGCAGATAAATAGGCATATGCCGTATGAAGGTAAAGCAAGGTCTGAGCCAAATTGACATTAAAATACTACTTACCGATTGAGCCTTTTTTCTATCATTGAAAGCCTGTGTTAGCGTGCTTTTGTAAAAATCCATGGCCTCCTTCGATACAATACTTGTTTCTAAATATTTGCCGAACAAATTGCTTACATCTGGGAAAAACACTGAAAAGACGTAGAAAAATTAAACATGAACACACACGATCGCATAAATTAGCAATATAGTGTTACTAATTAGGCTATAAGAATCTTACACCGTCTTCCCGTGCTAACCGTGATACGAGACACAAGCGGGCACCTGAGTAGAACAACCGACGTTCCGTAAGTTAGCTAGATAGCTTTCTAAAATGAAAGAATCAAAAGTCCTTGGCGGAACTCGAACCCACAGCGGTGTGGGGCAAGTAGTTTGCAGTCAACAACATTAACCACACGGCCACGGTCTTAACGTTCCAATAGGAAATCGAAATACAATATATTTGCAACTTTTCGTTAACAGGTAGTGTGTATCAAATTCACAGTGCGTTTGCGAGAATGAATGTGAAAATCTGATGTATATACATTCATTGCTCCCGCGTGTCCATATCAATATAAAATATCAATATCAATATCAAATACAACCACAAGTTCATGATTATTCCACAAAACTCATAAGGCTAATAAAGTGTTTTATAAGTATACTGCTGTATTATTAAGGTACTGTATATTTATAGTGCTGTATAAATAAAGTATTGTATAATTATAGTGATGTATAATTATAGTGTTGTAGAATTATAGTGTTTTATAATTAAAGTATATATAAATACATGACTTATTAAGAAAAAAACTTTGTTGTATTACACACATGTTAAACAGGAAAATAACTATTTACCATTGATAAGAAAAAATGGATTTCTAGATCCTTTGAACTCTAGGAACTCTCGTGCATATTTGATGATTAGATTATCTGGGTCCTTTTGTGCGTCAACATCAAGTCCGAAACCCGTACTGCATATGACATCCAACGTATAACCTTTTATATTTCTACAAAAAAGTGAGAAAATATATTACGAGAAAATATAGAAGTCCTATAGAAGAACACGACAAAAATGAATAACTTGTTATGGCTGCAAAGCTCTGTCACATGGTGACTATTTAAAAATGTGTACGTGATTAATGCGTTAGGTAATTTTAGTTTTACAATTACATGTAATTATCATAAGGTTAGTTATAAGTTTAACGTATTTAGATCTTAGCTTAACACAAACATAAACTATAAATGAGACTACTTTAGCGTCTGTTGCAAACATCTCTATGACATCCTTCTTATAAATTTAATGCATTAAGACATGAATATTAAGTCACACCGACACTTTGAAGGTCATATGGCAACTTCCAAGCTTTACTGGCGGAGAATATCCTGAGGTGCCCCTCCGTACATTATTTCAGGCACGAGCGCACGTGAGTAGGATAGCAAGCTAGCTGGACATCCAGTGGGATATGAATTCACAGCAGTGAGGGGCAAGTGTGTTTAAAAGTCAACGACCTTAACCACTCGGCAACGGACGCCCTGCTTTGTGGTTTTAATTACGTGAACATATAAATGTAATTAGAAATGAGGCTATACGTACGGCATAACGTCAAAACCTTCGGGACTTTTCTCGATCTTATCATCTAACAACTCTTGTAATGTATCCATGCATTTATGTATATACGGGTTCATCTGTTAAACAACATGATTTGAATAACAAGCAGCAAAGATTAAGAACAAAATAACATAAGAAACTTATTACAGAACATTACATTAAATAAGTTAATATATATTTAGCTAAATATATTTAAGTACTACTAGCGCATTTAGTAAAACAGTATTAACAACTTTTTGTTAGATATACCTCTCGTATTTTTCCTGTAGTAAATGTTGGACTTAGAGTAGATCGCAAGAACCTCCAGTGGTCACCACTTGCAACAGACACTGCTGACCTCCAAATCTTTGTCACTTTAACAACAGACTGAAATTCCACAATTGTCAAATCAGACAAAGTCACTCTGACGTATTTTAAAATCAACAAACATGAATTCAACCAGCAATTCCAGTTGATAGTATAGAGTTCAACCAGCTTCTTATATATGACACAACAAGTATGACAAAATAAACAACTTCTAAGCATTATAAATCGACGGACGAGGCAATATTTAAACTTCTTCTGAATATGCAATACCATAACCACCTTCCGTAGTCTCCTCACCGTAGTCTAGAGTTTATTCCCCTTAATTACTATACTGTCCGTAGTAACTGTAGGCTGGGAACCAGACTACCTCCCCCACGACACCCCAAGCCTACCCCCCCCCCCCCCCCAAAAAAAAAAAAAAAAAAAGTTACCGGGGGTGATACGGTCTATCCCAATACAATTATTATTTATTTCTAGGTCATTGACCGCCATACAAAATAGTGTACATCCATAAAAAATGTAAAAATTACTCTCAAATTCTATATTTTTGTTTAGAATGCGCATGTTTTATTTTACTTACCACGCGGTCAGTGAATTTGGAAAACTCCTTCACCATAATTTGCTTAATTATATCTGCGTCACTTATGACAAGTGTTGGAATATTGCCAAGAAACAACCTGTCGACAAAATGGTGAAAAAACATTTTTTGAAATCAATGGTTACAAGAGAACACAAGAAATCAGGCAAGACTAAACACAAGGTGGGTGTATACTGTGAGGTAAGAAGGATCGGCGGGGACATTTAAACTTCACGAATTTCCGATTTCATCTCCGTACGTGAAGTCAAAAGTTATCTTCGTAATTCACTTTTTCACGGATTTACATTAATCCGTGACTTTTTCAACATACGGAAAACACCAATTCACGAATGGAACTTCATGAATTCATGATTTCAACTTCATGAATTCACGATTTCGACTTCACGAATTCACAATTTCGACTTCACGAACTAACGATTTTAACTTCACGAATTCACGATTTCAACTTCGAGTGAATTCGTTGAAATCTTGAATTCGTTAAAATATCCCAAATGGTCTTTTGTAGCACGTATGGGAAAAGAATGTACTCCGTTGAAATACGACGGGAGAATGAATACGCATAAAATAATCACATGCAATAAAACCACGATAAATCATGCCATATGCTTGTATATAAGGAATACCGTGGCGCCGTTATATGTCGCAACGCCGCTAAATGTCGCACTACCCGCTAAATGTCGCACCGTTGCCGCTAAATGTCGCAACCGCCGCTAAATGTCGCAAAATCATTTGCCGTTTGATGTCGCAATGTTAACGTTAAATGTCGCACGAATTTCCCCTACCGTTAAATGTCGCAACACTACCGTTAAATGTCGCAATATGTAATTCTATGTTGAACTCGAGTTTATTGTTGTATTATATCAATTAAATCTGCCTACTCAAGACGAATAAATCCGTTTGAAAAGCGAGTGATTTTATTATATATGAAAATGCTCTGCAAATTATACAACGATAATACTCATTTCATAAATAAATGTATATTGTTTTGCGTTTGATTTTTAACTGATCTTATACAAGTACATATTGATAATTATACAATTGTCTACCATTTGTATGAAACTGTGCAAACATGTCTGTGAAATTGGCAAAAGAGACAGCCTAACGGCCTGGATGCTTAAGTAAGCAGAATGATGTCCTAGTAGGCTGAGGAGGCAAATCGTCTCGCAGTCCGAAGAGGAAGCCTTAACTGCTGACGACCTAGGCCAGCTTAAGGAGTTTGTATAACGCCCTAGAAGCCTAACGTCGGCAGCCTAGCATCCTGGTATTTGTTAGATAGAAATTGGTACAGAAGTTAACGCAGCTTGTGTTGACCGTGCATTTCATACTGTGCATGTTTTTCACGTATTTGCCGTTTCTGTTAAGGTAAACCACGGGTAATGCATTACCTCCACTTTGAAGAGTATTCAAATAGGCTAGAATCGCTTGCAAACTACATTGAAATTGAGAGGCGTGGGTTCAAACCCCAGAAGGGGCAACTTTTTTATCTTTCTTTTTTTCTTTTTAACATTATTTATGTATCTCTCTGATCCCTTATGGAAGAAAAAAGGTTTGATTTAAATTATATAATTATTGTAGGTATTTATTTGCTAAATAATGCCAAAATTTATAGTAAATATGATACCAGATACTTTCAAAGTTAAATAAAATAAAAACTACACGGTAAAAGTATTTTATATTTCGCATGATTAATCAATTTACCTTTAAGTAAATTTAGGCAAACTTTGAAAACAGCCCCTCATTATGGTAAATTTTAGGAATATTTTGAATAAGGCATTTTAGATAGGGAAATGGTAAAATTAGTGTTAAAAGTGGGTGGAGTAGGGTAACATTTTTATACATATTAAGAACATTTCGTTTAGAAACAAACATTTTGCTTGTGTAATTTGTTACCTGAATGTAATTATTTGTATCTTAACAATGAGCAATAGAAAAACATTATTTATAATGATGATATTACAGATTATTTAAAGTTTCCTCATTTCTGAAAATAAGCCCTTCTAATGACAAAGTCTTAGTTTAGAAATATATCCATAACTCATAAACCACACGGTAAATTTTATTTAAATTTTGCATACAGGTGACCTTGAAGACATATAACTGTCCTATGTTGTCAATTTTACAGTTCCTTATGGTGCCCATTACCCATGGTCTACCTTAAAATGAAATTTTTGCCTTGATATTCAATCAATATTTCAAGTTTGAAATGAATATATAAAAGGGAGATAATTAAGCAAAAATGCTTTTCAAGATCATCTTAATTCCTTTAGAAATGCATTTTACTTTTTATATGAAATAAGTATTTTATGTTTTAAGTGAATATGTTTGAACTTTTTTGAGCAATAAGCCGTAACCAAAATGTTAATCAAGGCGAAAACATAATCGAAAAACTTAACCAACGCTGAAAAGTTTAGCTTTTCATTAATGAAAAAAAATTCTCAAAATCGTTCAATCGGGAGTAAATAAAGTTAGCAATCATTTGGTCATGGAGGCCCCTCATACCTTTTGATATAAATGCAAATATTGTGTTTAACAATAGCTGAAAGTAATGCCAAATGATATGCAATCATATCAAACATCAAACACATATCAGTTTCCGCCGCGTAATTCCCTAAATTGTGCCAACATTTTAACAAGTCATAAGTGATTGCATTTGGAAACCCATTTCATAACAACGTCAAGGCAATGTTAAAACCCAAGTTAATCATTTTTATGGTGTTCTTATAACATATTTACATGTCTATGTCCCCGCGAGGCGTTTGACATTATCGCAAGATAGATAACAACCGCATGAATATTAATTATGGTAAGACTTTACAGCAACCTGATTAATAAAATCAGCTCCTAACTAACGATACGCTACAAGTAAGATTTGAACTTTTTACAGAGCCCAGGTGTATTCCCGGTTCAGAACCCGATATAGCACCGAATATATAAGTATGTATTTACTTAATTGCAATAAACGTTTGAGTTAATTTGATGCAATATACGATGCTAAATCGGTGTATTTCCGCTTGATTCCGGTGGAGATCCGACTAGACACGGTTTCATCACGGTCCATCCCGACCATCGCCGATTTCGCCACGGTAACGCTACTGGTGATGCCGGTACTGTGCCGGTGACGCCCCGGTAATGCGCCGATGCTTCCGGTTCAAGTTTATGAGATTAAAACTGCCTGACCACGTTGACATCAGTCATTCGGTAAACGACAGCAGAGCTGCTATTCGAAGTAAAGGGGATGGAAGTTAGAAAAAAACTGTGCCTACAATACCTTCATAGGTTGAGGTACCTTAAGCTGAAAATGTACCAGCTGAAGATTTTTCCTACTCTCATTTAACAAATTGTCCATGCTCGTGTTTCTCCTCTAAACAAAATGATCCAAAGAAACACTTCAAGTTTATATATTACTGTTCTTTAAATGTCCTGTTATCGGCATCAGGTCGTTACACCACCGTTTATCACCGTTATATAACCGTACTCGTTGGCAATATCCGGAACATTACCGGCTCCGACTTAAATGTACCCTGGCTCTACCGTAGCTCTGCCTGTTTTACCAAGGCAACATCGTGTCATCACCGGGGCTTTGTCGTTTGGACATTGATTAACACGCATCCCAGTTTACTACGATTTGTCACGGTATGGGTGCGGTATAGATACGGTGGTTTCCCGGCAATTCTCTCTTCAAAGACAATAGAACACGGTTTCGGGCTTCCTGCCCGTGAGCCCCGGTTGTATTAAACATTTAAATACAACGTGGCGATCTCTCAGTTCGTTCCGGTTCACCATGGTTTGTCCCTTTACTTTACGGAATTGCAACGGCCCAACGCCGGTTTACCACGGTTGATCCCGGTGGATCAACTAAATCGTGTCAAACCGGGACACCAAACCTGGACTGTGTAAATGGGGCTTAAACTGCCCGTGTATGACTGTATTACTATTAGTACTAGCAAGAAAAGAAGGTCTTTAAATCAATGAAAGTACTTAAACCGAATTCTGATCGCGACAAAATCATAATACCTTTTAGATGTTTTCGTCAGGGTTATAAAAGAAAAAAGGGGCAAAAGAAAAATACGTTTTGGACTTAAAATTTCAATTGTCCCTTTCTAAAATACGCTTTCTGGGTCTATTCATTATATAGAGCTCAAAACCTCGATTTTAAAGGTTTTTAAAAAAAAAATTAAATAAAAGTACCTTTTTTTAAAAGGGACCGATGAGCTTTTTTGGCCGATGGGACTAAAAAAATTTTTTCCACAAAAAAGTCCCTTTTTGGTGTAGACCCGAACCTTTGTGCCTTTCAGTCATTCGCGACTTCGTTTTCCAAAAAAAATTATTAAAATTGTAAAAATAGACCAAAATGAAAAAGCGTTTAAACGTTTCCTCAAAAAAGGTAGGGAAAAGCAAAACTACGATTTTTGATTATCTTTAAGTTTTTCTTAAACTATCTTTGCATATATTTCTGTTTTAAAGCGCCCCAGTCATTTATGTAAGAAATTCTAATGTTATGTTTTTAGGTGGAGTCCCTTTAAATGGCAAGTACAGTAAAAGTAAGTATGAGAGCGTTAAAAAGTAAAATACTACTACTTTTAATCATGATTTTAACATGAATTTATATCTTGAGACATTTAACGGTAGTGTTGCGACATTTAACGGTAGGGGAAATTCGTGCGACATTCAACGTTAACATTGCGACATTTAACGGCAAATGATTTTGCGACATTTAGCGGCGGTTGCGACATTTAGCGTCAATGTTGCGACATTTAGCGGCAAGTGCGACATTGAGCGGCGTTGCGACATATAACGGCGCCACAAATACTTTACCCATGGTACTGGCATCGTGCATCTCAGACAGAAAGAATGATTTCGTTTTGTCAGTAGAAAAACAAGTAAATAATAATCAATAAAAATCGTTCAAATCCCAGTTAAGGCAACTCATTTTTTTAAAAATTGTTTAAGCCAAATAAACATTGAATTGAATATCAGTGTTGCAATTAGTCTTATAGCCAATTTACTACAATTAAAACGCTGAAAAGCATTAGTGGCACTATACAAAAACAAATTGGTTAATAATCTCACAACCTTCACCTTTCTGACACTCTGAGACCCAAACAAATTCAGCGTCTTCTGTGCTTTGATTATAAAAAAAATGGCTTCAGTTTGAAGTATAATAACCAATAGGACTTACCCAAATATCTTTCCATTTTCCTTCACCATTTGATAATCTATATACCCAAAACCCTGTAATTAATGACAGCATTGAAATTTTAGTGAATATTTGAACTTCTAAATGTTTATTATAACATTTGCAAAGTACAGGTTTGGATAGTTACACCATTTGTAAAACACCATTTTCAAACACTTCGCCATCAGTAAATTACAGTACCCCATTTGCAAACGCCATTTGCAAATACCAAAACTTATATATATATAGTCCGCGGTGACGCAAAAAAAGGTCTGCATATTGTTTCGATGTGGTTAACGTTTGACTCAATGTGCATGAAAATCCTTCATGGGGTTCAGGAGATAAGGAGCGGGCATGAAACCCAAGTAATCAAAACTAAAATAAAATATGTACGAAAAACAAAAAAATAAAAAATGAGTATCAAAAACTAAACAAAAAATAAATTTGCAAATGTCACTTTTATGCCACCATAATTAATATACATTGTATATATTATTAATTTACAAATATGATTCACTGATTGTGTCGTTCATTTACACGAATAAAAATGGAAATCACAGGGCTATCTACTGAACTGATTGTTTGTTGAATATCACATGCATTTATTTCAAGTGTGCGCGTGCTTGCGTGTGTGTGTATGACATGTATGAGTGTAAGTTTTTGATTGTGACATGGTCAGTCATTTGCCGAGAAGCTTTGAAAACTATGTTATGCCCCTATGAAATACGAGGGACTTAAACACAAACACTAACAACTCCGCGTCCATGCAATTAAGATTTGAAAAGATATCGAAAATAATTTTAAATTATGTAGAAGTCTACTTGGCAAAAAAATAAGAATATGAAAAAATACAAAGGGCAAAAGCTCAAAAATGTGTCATAGAATTGTTAAAATTCATAAGCACTGCATTTTTTCTTAATTGGATTTGTCTACCTATATATTAAATTGAAACCTCAAATACTGTATCAGTTATTATCCGTACAATATAAACATTATAAATTACTGAAAATGATCATTAATTGTTCTTTCCTTGCTGAGATCCATTCACCTATGAATTTTTAAGATGATATCTCTAAAACATGTTGAGTTATGCCCTGGACTAATTTAAGCTAAGAATAAAAAATACCAAGGGCAATAACTCTTACATCATGTAAACGAGAGTTATGGTTCTTAGGCACTGCACTCTTTCTTGATAATATTGATAACAAATATCTGCCGATGAAGTTACAAGTTGATATATCCTACAGTTTCTATTTGGTCATGCCCTGGAAAGCAATACCCTAACAACCAAGACAGGACAACTGATTCCTACCTCCACAGTGTTTGTAGTTGATCATAATCATAAAGCTTTTCTATAAATTTAATGATGTAGATAACATTGCTCATGATAGTATAATATACAAGTGTCAAGTGATAAATTTCCCATGATATGTTGTAACGGAGAACTTTTTTTTCTAAATACATTTTTTGTAAAGATAAAAAGATAAATTTGCATATTAATAAATACCTTTTTTGTAAGTATAAAGAAGTCCCCAAAGAAAAAGACGGTTGGTTTTGTTGGTATTCCAAGACGCTTAAAATAAGATTGTTTGTACCATGTGTACCTAAAGAATAAAAACAATGTATCAATGTATTGTTGATGTATAAATATTTGTGTTACATGGTTGTTTTCATGCCTTTTTCTGAACATTGTCATGAAACTGAAGTCTAAAACAAAACAATACTACACATTCTATCACGCGTCACATTAACCCATGAAGCATATAGGACAGTCGAGTTGTATGATTTTTCTATGCTTGATGAGGGTCCACCCGCTGTTAGCAAAGGCACTAAATGAAGCTTTCGCTGCCGAGTACAGACCACGGACGTCTCTACAGTCATACCTTTAAAGGGTTACTCTTGGAGCACAAAGCTGGTGATAATTTACCTTCATGCAATGTCCACCGAGAATTAGATAAACATATGAATTTTGAGCCAAAAATAGGTCACTGTACGGCGGACAACGAGAACCTAAATGTACAGTAATTAAGACACTCTATGTGCTAGTGCCTATTTTGAAGGGCCATTTTCATCGGTTTTTGTCAGGACACCGGCAGTTAACTTCATGCAGAGACTAAGTCGTGTCGCCTTGAACGTTACCCTGAGTTGTAAAAACATCTGCCGACGCCCTGTCCCTTCTCACCGAGGGCGTGTGAGAAGTACTTACACGTTAATAAACTTTTGCGGTTTAACTTCAATGAAATTGATCAAAAATGCCTATCTGCCTCTGAGATTTTATTCCTGCCCATTTAATCTCGAGCACAGCAGCACACTCAAAATTGATATCAATTCAATTAACGGAAAATGTATTGTTCGTAAAACTTAAGAAAAGTAAAACAGCAAAGTAAATACGATGTATATAGACTCTAAACTTTATCCTTACTATCAATATTTTATCAATCTTTAACTTCAATTGTTTTTCAACTTTCAACAAAAAATACCGGAAATATATAATTATACTGTGTGGCTCGCTTATTTAACAATGTGGTTATATGACGTCATAAATTCTGTTTTCTTATTTGTTAAACTAATCATTACAATGGGTAATATTTTGTTTAATTACATTCAGTTTTAACTACATTGTATAAATGTAATCATCTATGAAGTAAATACAGAAATGTTGTAAAATAATCTTACAGGCAAACCGTCAGTATGAACACTGTAATACCAACGAGCCAACCCGGCAACTCCACCACTCCAAGTATTTCCATCTTTTATCAGTAGACAATGTCGATCTAGAAGAAAATGAATTGTCATTCGGTTTGCAAAATAGTTGTTTAGGTATACAGCAGTTTGTATTATGGCATATATGAATCTCCAGTTTAACAAAAAAAACTTTTGATTTTTAGTTCCCTAGTAAATTCCTTATGCTACTGCATATTCCAAAGTTCATACCTACTAAGAATAACAACAAATCTGTCGGGGGGAATTTTAAAACTGAGGTCATGTAAATGTATTGCAATTTGGTTCTTTAAGAATGGCGTAATTCAAGTGTCTTCAGTGGCTAATTTTCGCAATGTCGTATTCCACGGAAATGCAAAGACACCACGGATGTAATGCAAAAACACCACACATTTTTATTTATCATTCTTACGCTTGCATGATGTCGTTCTTTCGCCTTGAGAAAAACACAAAGATACCACAAAATTGGTGGTTTCTATGTTTTAACAATTGCTAAAAGCGATAATATGCTACACATATTTGTCTGTATCCAAAAAGATAAACTAAATTACGGTCTCCTATTTTTAAAGGTTAAGCTTACCGTTCTTAAATAAAGTTATAACTTTAGTGATAAGCATGGTTGACCCAGTATTTAATATCATCAGTTTATCCATGGTATATAAAGGAATCAAAACCAAAACAAACGCATAATCTCGTCCTATAATTCTCATATCAGTGACCTTGGTATGTGACATATAGCTGATATAACTAACTTAAAGTTAATTAACAACATCAGCAACCTTTTAAATATAAACGTTATAATTAAGTGAGGTATATGCTCACTCATATGGTACAAAACGTTAAAATTCGTTATTCCTTTCATTATCTGTTTACATCAATAATTGTCATTATTATAAAAGCATACTATTTATTGTCTAAATCTTTTAACACCTGAACAATAACTCATATTTCATCCGTTCAGCGTACTAGCGTAGTGGTAGAGCGTTCGCTCCGTACACGTAGAAACCCTGGCTCGAATCCTTGATTATTTTTTGTTTCATTTTTATGTTAGCATTGGAAGAAAAAAAAAGATATAAACAAATGAGCCAGAATTGTTAAAAATGTGGCGAATATAATTCAGAATTTCAAATAGAATGAAATAATAATAATATTCAATGTGTCCAATGACTGTTAAAAAGCAAAATTAATACTTTCATATTATTTTTTTTTAATTTTGCTTAATCGTTATATTTTTAAATCATAAGTTTCACTAAATGTTCATAAAAGAGGAAATCAAAACTTACTTGATATATTCTGAAAGTTATAAAACAAACTAAAAAATATGCACAATTGCAGATTTGAACTCGAAAAACCCATGTTCATATTAACCTGAGCGCTCCATAACCTGAACGCTCATGTCACCTCGCTGCTCGCGATTACGTATTTATGAACTTTGCAATGAAATACCACAAAAAATGAATATCTTGCAAAACCTATTATAATTATCATGATGGTCTAACCGCTCTAACGTTATCGTGTTCGACTTATAATTCACCGGTGGAGAGTGTAAACAAACAAACTTCGGATATGTTCTTAAACTATATGCATACGATATTGAAACTATTTCAACCGAAATGCATAGTTGCCAAGGACTCACATTATTCATCAATTAAATTGCATTGGTCTACAAGAAGAATTTCAAATATTAATTGATAAAAATAAAAATTTACCATTCGGATATTCCTTTAAGATATTGCTATATAAAATTGTTGAAAGAGTTGAAAGTGATTTAGAATGATCATTTATAGATGAAAAATATCAGTTTGTTCTATAGTATAATAAATCTGCTGTGTATAGACTTACCAACATTTATATATAAATGTTTCATAGTTTGTTGTTATGTATGTTACTGAATAATATCAATTTAATTATTCTGCAATTAAAATGAATCGTAGTTTTTATTCATTTAACTGCTGTTAGCAGGGGATAGTGCACAATAAAACTTCAGAAATCATAGTCAAAATGCAGCAGACAAAATGCAGCATAATTTTTAATGTAAAAAAACAAGCATGTAATTTCAACAGTCACAAACTTAAATATATAAAATATCTAAATAAATTTCAAAAACCGGTACATTCTCTTCAAGTAATTACAAAGTAGACTTAGTATAATACATGAAATTAGGCTACATAATTATGAAACTTGCCTTTAAGTGCGTTCTTTCCTCACTCAATGTTATTTCCAATATAACAAGCTTACACAAAGACGGTCAAATCGTTTTATAGCCGGATTATGCTGACTGATGAAATCTATATCGCTCTTGCTAACACAAAATTTACCAAATAGCAAATCAAACAAGATATTCGTATGTAAATAACCTTCACATTGATGCGTCATATAGATAATACATGTTGATAAACAGCGTAATGAATAGTTCATGAAGTAGCACATAACGACCAGGACATACAGACAAACGTGAGTAACTTCTAAAAATGTCATAGCCGCCTCAATTTGTCATTGCTAATTTTGATTATAGAAATACAATGTACGGAGCCTCTAAAGTGACATGCACGCACATTTTTTACCATCGCTTGTTAACGAATTCATAATTAGAAAAAAACAAATAGAATTAAATAAATAACAAACATGTTGACTGTGTTTAAAGAAAACTATGAACCAATTGTTATGTCATTCTTATCATAAGATCTTCTCGAACAGAAACTACAATAATAGTACCAGGGGCTTATTACTCTGTAACGCATTAACACTGTCAATGTTAACGTTTCCAGCATGACTTGGGAAGGATTTATTTCAGGCACGAATGGCAACTGAGCAGAACCACTGACGTTCCGAAAGCTAGCTCGATAGCTAATTCACATGATTATTAAGTCCATGGTGGGATTCGAACCCAAATCAGCTAGGGTAAGTGGCTTAAAGCGATCGGAACCACTTGGCGATGAATGACCCTATAACATTTTTTTTAAATTTCGACAACAGAACCTTACATATGATTTACAGTTTCCAGAATGAAAACAAATATTAGCTCTTCTGCAAATAGTGCAGTTTGTTCATCAATCTGTCATGTAAATTCTCACACAGTTAAGAATGTATTTTATGACATTGGTATATGTGTTAAAGATTTAAATATTGAACGATCGCTTATCGATATCCCCATTGATTTTGTTTCACCGACTATCGTTGATTTCATTGATTCGTTTTAAATTGTGTTGTTCACTCATTTTATAGTAATACAAATCCTATAGAGAACTTTTTATTATAAGAGAAGCTTTCAATCACCATCAAAGGTAAATGTTGTTTTCTTGTATAAATTTTCTGGTGTATAAAATGTTTGTGTTAAAAACCATTAAGTCTTTACCATACTTTTTCAGACGATGTGAACCCCTAGAATTTATTTCACAACAAAGCATTTATTTCAGCGTTTCTCCTGCCTACGAAAAGAAGCACTGTAGGAGCACATTTGTCTCGGAGCACATTTGTCTCACGAAGTGTGACCAATGTGTTCGTAAAAATTCATATTTGCGACAAATTGGAAATGAGACAGATGTGTTCGACATACAATAGAAAGGACACTCGAAGCACATTTGTCTCACATTTTTCCATAAAATTCTTAAAAGGTAATAATTTTGCCCGTCCGTTTACAGGCTACCAGCCATTGTTCTGTGTTTTCTGTATTTATAATAACGTTTTTAGGTCACTTCCAGTCAGTCAGAAACTTCCTGCCTCTGCATAGGAGTCATATATATTAAATTAAAGAATATCACTGTTCTGCATGACACAATGAAAATTTCTACAAGTTCAGCATCCAGAACCTAAACACATATGCAGCAAGTCTATTCTTATCATGCGTTTATCTTCAATGCTTAAAGTTTTATAAATGATTTATGGCACTAGAAATATTCTTAGAAAAAGCAAGGTAGTATCTACGGTGGCATAAAGGGGGCATAGAATTTTCTTATTTATTACGTGCGTACACGATAGCTTTTACGTGGCCTCGCGACACTATTACGTGCGCACGCGATAGCTATGACGTGTACACGCGGATATGTATTCCGCATTTGGACCCTGACCGGGATCCTCGCATGAATAGTCCGACGCCCCGTGTAAATGCCGAACCTACAACGGTTAGGGACAAGTGGTTTTTTGTAATCACTTGGCCACGGAGGCCCTTAAATGACCTATGGAAGAAAATAAGAATACCATTACACACGTATATTATTTTCATCAGAAATGTATGTATGTAAAAATCGTTATTTTCCAAGAATTGCGGCATTGAAAAAGCACTTACAACGTGCATGAGTTCCTAAAATAATCCGGGTAATGCCATAATTATGGAACATCGGGCCACTCAGAATCGGGCGAGACGCGACATTCTGAAGAGACACGAAGCGAGGCACGATATTGTAACACATGATCACGCAATGTCGAAGTATCCCGTACCACGAGATTTCAGAAATGAATAAATTTTTACTTCTTTAGATAGAGCAAGTATGAATTTATTAATATTCAAATAATGATTTCTGAGGAAGTTAGATGCTTGCAACCTAAAGAAATTCGCGATAAATGTGAAATAATGCGTCATGAAAGTAGCAAAATGTAAACAAAGTGGTATTTTGACTTCAATACAAAATTCTTAATCACCTCAACTGTACAAACTGCAAAAAAGCAGCAGATGAAAAAATGCTTTAGGTAATTAGCCTATGAGTAACTTTTTGGAGCTATAAAAGTATACAAACAATACAAAGCTTTTGAGGAATACAAATAAAAGCATTTCTCAGGCATAATGGGCCTTTAAGTGATTTTATGTAGACTATAAAGGGAATACTACTTAGCGGTATATGACCTGGAATCAATTTCATGTCTCGCGTCGACGAACGAGATGCGAAGCAAGACGCGAGTTTTCGGCGAGATGCGAAACGAGTCACGATATTGTTTCATTCAATATCAACCGATTACACATAAGTAACATTTTTGTCCCTGAACAGCTATGCACAATGGTACAAAGGTGAAACTGATATGGTACGACGGTACGATGAATAAACACGATGTCACGATGGTGAAATCACGATGATACGATGACACGATAGAGAAAATAATATCGCGTTTTCATCATCATGCCATCGCAGTTTCATCATATCGAACCATCGTATTTTCACCATCGTAACATCGTCTTTTACCATAGTACCATCACGTTTTCACCATCGAACCTTCGTTGTTTCATTATCGAACAATCGTTGTTTCACCATCGTACAGTCGTTGTTTTCACGTTTGTACCATTATGTTTTCACCATCGCACCATCGCGTTTTCATCAACGTACCATCGTGCCATCGCGCTGTCACCATTGTACCATCGTGAACGGGATATAGTATGTTTCAGTGTACACCTTCAGATTAAGCCAATCAATTACTTGAATTAGAGATATTATGATTAATAGTTCACATTATAGGTTTTCATAAAGAAAGCATAATCAAACCTATTGATTATTACACTTGACATAAGGTAAAACGGCGAACCTCGATTCTAAAAAAGAATTTCTGCCGTGGGAATAATGTGACAAATAATTCATAAAAAATGACATGAGACAAATGTGCTTTCTTGTCCCTTAAAAACACATGAGACAAATGTGCTTAAAAAACTTGATCGGAGCACAATTGTCACACAAATGAGTTTTTGGGGTAAACATTTGGAAAGCATTGGTCTTACGTAAGACAAATGTGCTCCGAGACAAATGTGCTCCTACAAAGCTCATATGAATAATTTCTCGTTTTAACGTGCATGACAAGTGACGTTAACGGAAAATAACGCTGATTCTCTACAAAACGAGTAACATGATAATTAAGTACACGTATCAAAATATTTTAACGTATATTAAAGTAAAAGAAATTAATATGTTTCTGACATAATATTTTAACCAACATTACAAATATTTTCAGGATTTAAGATCACTCGTAAGAATGACGATCTGACTATTGTTTTTGAAGGGGACGTTTGTGTTTCATCGGTATTAGTAAGTTTAAACTTTATTTACTTTTTACTCGGTGTACCTTAGACATTTGCCAATCTAATACTAGAAGTAGATAAAACATTATTCATGTACCTTTCACGAGGTACCAGTGTTGCTTTGGTGCACCATTCACGAATTCGGCTTTACCTTGTAATTTTCAGAAGATCTCACTTACTTAAATGGCACATCTATGCCTTACTTTTGCACAAAACCTGCGTTACTTGCATATTCCTGGCTAATCTTAAATAAAATAAATTAAAACAGGCTAGTTTTTCAATCAATATGTCGTTTAAAGTGTAAACATTCGTGTATACTTTAACAAGGTCAACGTGCTAAAATATAACATTAAATGTTATATTTTAGCACGATGACCTTTTTAAAACATACACGAATGTTTACTTTTATATTTATAAATGCAAACTACGTTGTTAGGTAGGTTTTTTGACACCGCTGAACAAGACAGTATTTGACCTATGTTTACATACGTTTATACTACGGGCCACACATCTTTAAAATCGCAACCTTTCGTCCTTGTCATCAATCTTCTACAAATACCTCTTGAGGCGTGCATTGCACGACAGTTCAAGGACAAGTCATTTTAAGTACCAGAGATAATTAATTGACAGGTCAGGATAAATTTGGGAATGTGGACCTCAAAGAAACCATTTTATATAAGAACACGTCGTGGATGAATATGTCGTGTACAAAGGAAAGACCAACATGACAAAGACGTCTCCGATGACGTAACTGATGCGCACCGGCAATGACGTCATAGGTCTCGGACACATGCCGGCGCGGACAATAACTAAATGGATATGATCAGAATGAAAACTTTAAAGTTCAACACCTTGAAATATTAAGATCATGATATTGAAAATAAGCTTGTAATAATCTAAAAAAGTGCTTATAATGCATTTTCGGCCATTTTGGAGTTTGTAATATTCTTCGTTTTCTTTAGGCCACTAGGCTGTCAACTTCAGGTTATTAGCCTGCCAACTTCGCTTGGCGAACATGTTTTGTCAAGATGATGTTTTTGTGTTACGAAGGCCACATATAAAATTAAGTCTCCAGTCTTACCTTCAAGTAATAAAGATATCATTTTAACTGCAGTACTGTCACAGTCATAAGCCTTTACAAACAGTCGCGTGCCTCAAGGAAAATTGAAGTTTAAAGCTGTTTAAAAATATTTAAGGATCGTATTTAATAAGCACGAATATTTACAAAAAAAATCATTTGACATGGGTATTAATAATCAAGTGCCACATTTCAGAGAAAAAAAACACATTTAAAATGACAAGCTTCTCAAAGACCTCGTCTTCGAGTTTTATAACTCGTCCTTGAATTTGACATAGTGTGCTTATTTTTAATGTCATATTATTCAATATCAAGGTAAGCAAGTGCCTATTTATTTTGCTTTTCCTGTAGCTGACTTACTTTCGAGTGACTGAGCAAAATTTCAGTTTTGGTCATAAATTATTTGTTTATTTTTTCTTCTTTCATTTTCTTTTCTTTTTTTAGAAGGCCTATTTGTAAAATAATTCACTCGCTGTATTTGCACTGAATATAGAGAACAAATATGTTGCTGTTGTTTTTATTTACAGAATTCTATGAAACCAAGGATAAAATGAAACTCATAACTCAGGAGTAAACTTGATTTTTCTTAGACCTATGTCTAAATCAGGCCTGGTCTAAGTTATCCCGAAAATGACTTCAAATAACGAAAACTAGGCCGATGACTTTGCTTTAAATTTTGATGTTACCATAGTGTATACAAAGTTTAAACACTATAACAAAGCTTTCATTCTGTTAAATGTCACTGTAAGATACGCCTTTAGGTAACTAGTTAATTACAAAATTATTGCCTTAACCACATAAATGTACATGTAATTATATGAGATAATTTAAATTTAAATGTTTAATCTGGTGGCAAAAATACGCCACCATAGATATAATTAGGTAGTTGCGCTACTTGCACTTAAAATTATCATAATATACATGTATTGTATTTTTAGATATTATCTTGCAGTAAATAATACCAAATTTGGTAATAATTTTGTTCTTCTGATGATAAATCTAAAATCTTAATTTATCTTAACATGATTGCGAAATAACGTTATACAAAAATAAACATGATATTACAAATATTAAGGTGATAACGTTTTCGCCATGTTTTAATCTCACGTTATGGTAAATGCAATCATAGATTTTCGTTACTTTCTGTCAAACTTCGGATCGCTATAGTTAAAATTCGCATTTTTTGTATATTTTGTAAATATTATTAATATCTATTTCCCTCATATGTACAGAAGAGATGAAAATCATTATTATGAAATACCGGAAGAGATATCATACCTTATTTGGTGTGAATAATTTCCGTACTGTATTATAAAGTATGTGAATTTTAAAAAAAAATATTCCGGCCTTTACCTATACATATATACTAAGTATAACTCTGGGAGTTTAAAACCAAAACATTTCAGGATTATAACATACACATACAAAATGCTGCCGAATATAAATAAGTTTTATACTTTCATGGTTTTTTCCGGGTCTATAACTCTAAGACAATCTGTGAGTTTTTTTCTGGTTTACCTCAAGACAATCTATATGACCAGGGACCATCAAAAAAAGGTGCATTATCATGTAAACAAATATTCGAAATAACATCGTGAAACACGTTGCTTATCTGCAATGCCCTATTCTAACATGGTATCACGTACATGTTCACTCTATAGAAATAAAGAAATTAAGTCAATTTTAATAGCTTTTCAGTATATTTATCATAGAAATAAATTTAATTACTTTCTAAGAATATTAATGTCTGACAATTAATATAAAAATTGATGCAGTCAATGTGTAAATCTGAAAACAAGCAGTATGTATGTATGTATGTATGTATGTATGTATGTATGTATGTATGTATGTATGTATGTATGTATGTATGTGTGTGTATGTGTGTATGTGTGCGTGTGTGCGTGCGCGCGTGCGCATGTGTGCACATGTGTGTGTGTGCGTGTGCGTGTATGGATGGGTGGATACATGCATGCAAGCATGTATGTATGTACGTATGTATTTATGTATGTAAGAATATGTGTGTGCATTAGTGTGTGTGCGCGCGTGTGTGCGTGCGTGCGTGCGTGTGTGTGTGTGAAATCACTCCGGTTCACTTGTTTCAGCAATTAATCTCTTCTTCGATTTCATGGCATATTACTAGTCGCTATCATGTCTTTGGAATGAAATAGCCGTCGGCTTCATTGGCCTACAAATAAGAAATATTTAGACATTTTTTAATTTTTTTTATTATTTACATTTTATAGTGTACATATGAATAACGCCTAATTATGTCGCAACGACCTTTATGTAACCTTAAATGTTTTAAAGAAAAATACAAAACATATATTGATGTTAATATGAATAAATGAATGAATGAAAGAGTGAATGAATGAATAAATGAACGAATGATGCAATATACGTATATGTTTAAACAAATTGTTGAGTGTCTGTCGAAAGTATACGAGATGTCTTATTCTAAAAATTACATATAACACCTATGCATGTCCTGTTTTTTTTTTTTTTTGTTTTTTTTTTTTTTTTTTTTTTTTTTTGTTGTTGTTTTTTCTATTTCAGAAGGCCACATTGGAAATAAGAAATATATGATTGCTATTGTATGTTCTTAATGTATAACCTTCTTAAATGTCGCACTTGCCGCTAGATGTCGCACTATTGCTGCTAGATGTCGCAACCGCCGCTATATGTCTCAAAATATGTTGCCGTTAAATGTCGCAATGATGACGTTAAATGTCGCACCATTTTCACTAACCGCTGACTGTATGCCCTTAAAAAGTATCTATCGCATTGATAACCTTTCCATCTTGAATTAAAGTTTAAAGGCATATGCTAGAGTTACATAATATATAAAAATGTATGATTCAACCAAATGTATGACACAGAAATACCGGGAAATAAGTCATAAATTGAATAATATATATCAAATGTTCTTATAACAAACATTATTTTATGAGTCATATATCCTCTTTTCAAGGAAACAAGAATCACAACAATTTAACACTCATAAATAGTAATGCGCATGCGGCGCAGTCTGAACTCTAAAACAAACGGTAGTGTTGCGACATTTAACGGCGGAAGGAAATCGTGCGACATATAAAGTTACCATTGCGACATTAAACGGCAGACGATTTTGTGATATTTAGCGGCGGTTGCGATATTTAGCGGCAATGATGCATCATTTATACATTATTAATACATTATTAATACATGTACATCATATTCATTATAAAACTTTACATATGTTTTAATTTTAAAGTGTACATATGTATTGATGTAACATACCCATTTTTAAGTGTACATATGAGCCACGCCATGACAAAACCATCAAAACTATCAATTTCTCTACTTGCTATAGGGTTTGTAAGCGAACAGCATGGATCCTGACCAGACTGCGCGGATGTGCAGGCTGGTCTGGATCCATGCTGGTCGCAAACCCATTATATATGTTGGTTTTGTCGTGACGCGGCTCATATTTATTAATAACGGTATATTTAATTCGATTAATTTTGTACGCAAATGACATTGTCAACTCACTGTAGGATTTCACACGAAATGCACGGGTTTTGATGACAATATTAAACTGCATAATAAATTATGATATTTAGTATACCGATTGAATTAAAGTAAGAAAATGTAAAAACACATGTTCTATTAAATTTATATACAAATGCAGATATATAATGATTATTCTTTGGTATTTCCCACTCATTTCACTGTGATTGCATGTGATGATCCCTGATTGAACGTGCACACATTAAATAGCGAGTAGATAAACAACAATTAAAATTATAATAGGCATTTTTATGCCCCCGCCATATAATGGCAGGGGCATATAGTGTTACCCTGTTCCGTCATTCCGTCATTCCGTCCTTCCGTCCTTCCGTCATCATCAGTTTCCGTTCATTATCTTAATAACTCTTGCACATATTGAACTCAAATTTGACATATGGATATGTCATGAGAAAATACAGGTCAAGTTCGAAATTGGTCATGGTTCGATGATTTTTGGCAGAGTTATGCCCCTTTTACATTGAAAATAATATGAAATTTTCAGTTTCCGTTCATTATCTCCCAAACGGTTCAAAACATTCAATTCAAAATTGACATATGGATATGTCATGAGAAAATACAGGTCAAGTTCGAAATTGGTCATGGTTCGATGATTTTTGGCAGAGTTATGCCCCTTTTACTTTGAAAATAACAGAAATTTTCAGTTTCCGTTCATTATCTCCCCAACGGTACAACACATTCAACTCAAACTTGACATATTGATATGTCATGAGAAAATACAGGTCAAGTTCAAATTTGGTCATGGTTCGATGATTTTTGGCAGAGTTATGCCCCTTTTACTTTGAAAATAATATGAAATTTTCAGTTTCCGTTCATTAACTCCCCAATGGTACAACACATTCAACTCAAACTTGACATATGGATACGTCAAAGGAATGCGCAGGTCAAGTTCAAATTTGGTTATGGTTCAATGATTTTTGGCAGAGTTATGCCCCTTTTACTTTGAAAATAATATGAAATTTTCAGTTTCCGTTCATTATCTCCCCAATCGTACAACACATTTAGCTCAAACTTGACATATCGATATGCAAAGGAATGCGCAGGTCAAGTTCAAATTTGGTCATGGTTCGATGATTTTTGGCAGAGTTATGCCCCTTTTACTTTGAAAATAATATGAAATTTTCAGTTTCTGTTTATTATCTCCCCAACAGTATTAAACATTCAACTCAAATTTGACATATTGATACGTCAAAGGAATGCGCAGGTCAATTTCAAATTTGGTCATGGTTCGATGATTTTTGGCAGAGTTATGCCCCTTTCACTTTAAAAATAATATGAAATTTTCAGTTTCCGTTTATTATCTCCCCAACAATATTACACATTCAACTCAAATTTGACATATGGATATGTTTTTGGAATGCGCAGACCAAGTTCGAATCTGGTCATGGTTCAATGATTTTTGGCAGAGTTATGCCCCTTTCACTTTGAAAATGATATGAAATTTACAGTTTCTGTTCATTATCAACCCAACAGTGTTACATATTCAACTCAAAATTGACATATGGATATGTCAAAGGAATGCGCAGGTCAAGTTGGAATTTGGTCATGGTTCGATGATTTTTTGGCAGAGTTATGTCCCTTTCACTTTGAAAATAATATAGATACATCTTAGGAATAAGCAGTTTAAGTTTGAATTCGGTCGTGGTTCAATGATTTTAGACAAACTTATCTTTCCTGAATGTTGGAAAAAATTTGAACTTTCAGTTTCAGCACTCATACTTTTGTGGAAATGTATATAGCCATTATGTTGGCTACAAATATGCAATATGCTATTTTTAAAAGGTTAAGACTGAATAATTTCAGTGCCTTGAACATTGTATAAAAATGGTTAAGACTGAATAATTTCAGTGCCTTGAACATTGTATAAAAATGGTTTGTGTTAACATTGAAAAGTTTTAAGGGCTTTGAACTTAGAATGAAAAAATAATTTATGCAAACAAATTTGGAACTAAATATTATAACATTTGAAATTTTGGCTGCATGCGGGGGCATCCGTGGCATGATGACACATTTCTAGTTTTGAAATGTATTACTAATTCAACACACATTGGCAGCAAAAAAGTGATCATAATGCCTACTTTTTCTCGCACAACGGCCTTCTGGGGGACGTGCAAGGCACATCTATCCACTTGTATTTCAGAAGGTGGCCAAACGCAGCACAATCCTCGCCATTTGTACCTGCGTCCTGTGGCTCGGTTCCACCCCAACCAAGATATGGTGCATTTGTACCATCATCGGTAAATTTCCACACACCTTCAATGACGTTATCATTTATCCCTATCCAATAATCAGCGTTTTCTTAAAATAAAATGATTACATATATACTGTCTTGCTTATGAATACGAAATCACGTGCCTATACCAAAATATAACAAAATTTCGTTGGCATAATAAAGATATTTGCATTTTTTGTTTGTTTTTAGTTTTGCATACATATTTCATTGTAGTTTTGCATACATTTTTTTTTCAGTTTTGTATACATATTGTTTTTTAGTTTTGTATACATATTTTATTTTAGTTTTTCACACATATTTCATTTTTGTTTTTCGTACATATTTTAGCCAATCAAAACAGCCTTCACATTTCATAACAGCCCATAGTTGAGTATAAAACTAGCACAGTGGTTTGGACACATTTCGCCCAGCTCAATATTAAAAAAAAATAAAAATAGATAGGGCCATAACAAGACTGAAGTTGGGCACAACCCTATTACCAGGGGATTCTGGCCAATATATCAAGAAAATGAGCCCCAATTGTGCCCAATGTGGAGTGAGATACAATATATCCCACCTATTGCATGAGTGTGACCAGTTCAGGGACCATAGAAATGAACTGCGGTCGGCACTTGGTGCTGTAGGTTTGGGATATAACACACAAAATATACTGAGTCCACCAAAGAAATACTCAGTACACATTTTTAAAGCTTTAGAGTTATTTATTCTAAACTGTTGTCTAACAGATAAAATTTAAACAAATAATAACCCATATCACTAATTAATTGAGTGATGGGGCTTTAATATTAATTTTTTTGTCCAAATACAACTGTGACCTTGATCCCAGCAGTCATATTAACATATGAAGTCATGATTGGCCTTTAATGTAAAATCCTACTTTTCCCCCCCTCTGACAATAATATAAAGACTGCATTATTTGTATACTTCACTTTAATTTATCAAAAGGTGTTAATGGGACCCAGTTTGCATACTCAGTCCCCTGATACCGATTCCACTTTATAGATTTATAGTTTTGACAATACCAATATAGTAAACAATTGTCCAAATTTATGATAGTATACAAATCATAATATAGATACTTATGAAAATTAGTGAAATTTCTATTTATTGACATAATATGGCCCAGTAAAACCAAAAATAAAACCCAAATACAATTGAAATATCCATACTATTAATTAATAATAATTAACTAACACCATTAAAGGTCTAATTAAAAGAATTTTCATTAATTTTTGTGGTTTATTAAAAAATTTATGGTTATTTCCCTATACAGCATATCAAATATGTGGTAAATAGTCAATTTAACAATAAACAAGAAAA